TCTGCAGTCACTTTCGGACAGCCCTTCGTTTTTGCTAAGATCAATCAAAACTGAGCGCTAAGATTGCCATGTGGCCGTTCTTCGTCTTCCTAACCGGCGCCATGATTCTGACATGCTGCTCCACTCCAGCAGCACTGCCACCTCCTGGGCTGCCATTCCAAGAAGGTCTCCCAGATCATTTGGCGGTTTGACTATGCGGGAATTGCCATCCTCATCTGCGCATCCTTCTACCCGCCAGTCTACTACGGCTTCCTCTGCCACCCATACGCCCGGCTCACCTACCTCGTCCTGATCACCCTCGGTGGTTTGGGAACTGTAGCTGCCTCTCTTCTCCTGCCTTTCAACAACCTAAGTACCGAGCCTTTCGTGCAGGGCTGTTCTTTGGACTGGGAGTCTCTGGTGTGGTTCCATTTTCCATGGCATGCTGCTCTACCACCATGAGCCGTTTTTGGTGACAACTCTTCTGTATGAGCTGCTTATGGGGGCGTTGTACGGCATTGGAGCTCTCTTTTATGCCACCAGGATTCCCGAGCGATGGCTGCCTGGGAAGTTTGACATAGCGGGACACAGCCATCAGATTTTCATGTTCTTGTTATTGCTGGGGCGTACACGCACTATCAGGCTGCCCTAAGATATCTGCAATGGTGGATGGTCGCATGTGCTGAAGTGTGCTTGCAGGGACTGCAAGGTTTGCTGTGCCCTACCATGTTACTTTGGTTACATCCATTGCTGCTGTCATTGTCACAGTTTGCAGGTCTGTGCTGCTCTTGGTGTAGCGATCTTGGGACCTCCCTTCGCGCAAGGGTTGACAAACTACTGTAATATTGCATAGTGGGGAGTTCATGCTTGCCTGTACTGTTCTGTACATTGTTGTATACCTATGAAGCAAGGCTTCCTTTGCATAGGTACCTATGTAGACTGCTCACATGGCAGTTGCTTGTGCTCTTGCCAACTACAATAAATGTCATGTAGCATCCCCGAAATAAGAGTCTACTTCTGATGAACGCCCGTATACCTCTCTTATTCTGAGTATATCAGTTGAGAAGGTGGACTTGGGTGTACCAATGAAGTATTGCGCTCTTGCACATATGTGCTTCTCGGCGAGAGCCCTGAGGATACCTTGGTCTTCCTCATCCAAGTTTCGAAATCACGCACCCAGTCATACTCGTCGTACTCCAACGAGCCCTTAGTGAATTCAGGAAGGCGCTCAACAACAAAGGGAGCCTTCGAGTCCAACTCTGCATAGAAACAGGCATAGAGGTGTCACCGCCATGCAACAATGAATGAACAGCGTCGATGCGAATCATGATCCAAGAACGTCAAGAAAACAAAAATCTATTGCACCATCAATCCCTGTAAGCACTCACCCAGTAGCAGCTTCTCCAGGAATTGCACTTCGGTCAGGCTTGCATCAGTGGCTAGGTACAGAATACTGATGCCACGGCCGCTGAAACGCGACACAATGTAGCGTGCAATAGACGCGATCGGCAGAAAAGCCGGGTCTCTGCTCTGCTGCTTTCCCTTCTCCTCATTCCTCAAATAAGCATGCGAAAAATCCCCTCTCCTCATATGCACAGCCGCATAGTCATCTCCCAGGAAAGTATCAACAAACCCCGAAACAAACCTCCGAACCACTGGAGGCGGCTCCCAGAGGTCCAGGCACGAGGTTTGGAATGGAGGCTTGGTTGCATGCAGCATCTGCCCGGCCCTGCCGTACAACGAGAAGCCGTAGATGTTCCCAAGGCTGAGCACGCGAGCGTTGGCGAAGGAGCACAGGCAGAAAGCAACTCGGCGAGGCCCCAGGGGGAAGGGACTCCAAAGGGTGCTCTAGTTTGTCAGGCAATGCGACGTTGGGAAGCTGGGCGAAGGACTGGTGGCATATGCGGGACGGAGACGGGGACATGGAGTGAGTGTGAGAGAGGCAATAGGTGCATTTGTTTGAGGCAACAGAAATATGGGTGTACTCACCAGTTGAGTATTATCCATGCAGGACCTCCCGTTTACACAAGCAATGTGGTCTACAGTCACATTTTGCTTCGTCCTCGATACAAGCTCCTCCACTGTAAGCACGGTGTGTTGTTCCCGTACGCGTCCGCCAGGCACGTCTGGAGGTGCGGGATGTCGAATATCAGGCTCCACCGCCATTTGTACCACGTCTGGTGGTGATGCGCGAATCCTGGATCCGGAACCAAAAGCGTGCGGTTCAGAAGCGCCGCGAAGACTAAGTAACTTCGCATACATTCCTCCTGAAAGGATACATGGCGCGAAGAGAGCAACGAGGGACGGAAAATCAAATGAGTCGGGAATCAGTGGGAAATTCAGTCAGTCAGACAGTTGACGGGCTCGGAACCTGAAGACAATCACATAGGCGAGTGAGAAAGCAAGAAATCGACCTCAGGACTGGCATGACTGACAGTGGTGCGACCCTCCTGCACATCCTTTTTCGGGAATATATTGTCACGAGAATGTCCTGACGTGGCCCGCGTGACGTGGTGAGTTCACAGTAGGAGTCAGTGGCATGTGGCAGCGGTGCGACAAGGTGTGCTGCTGTGACGTGGGAACGACATCGCTCCCAACAACATGTATCGCACCTGATTGGACAAACGCCCGTAGAAGCACAGAGCAAGCAAGTATCGATCCGCCTGCGGTTCCCAAGACTCGATCACGTCGTTTGGAACTCCCGAACCGTTTCCCGTGGCGAAACCTGTAACATCCATCTTAATCGCAGACCGTTTCTCCTTGTCTAGGGACTGAAGGACCCTCATTCTTCGTGAGCGAGTGACCACAGTGCCCTGTTCCACGGAAGGAGACGAATGGAGATTGAACCGTAACCGTGGAACAAAAGACCATTGACGAGGCTTGGAGACGGCGAGGTCGTTTAAAGACGAAACAATGCCATTAGAGATGCCTCGGAGTCGCGACGAAAGAGTCGTCGCAAGCGACTGCGGCGAAAAGCTGGCGAGCAGGGCGAAGAGGAGAAGCGTGAGGCCTAGTCGGGACAGCTTGTCTGAGACAACGAGCGTCGGCGTGGAGATCCGCGACGTTCTATAACGTGGATTGAAACTCGTGTGACTCATTTTGTGCAGTAGAAGTTTTGAATTGCGGTCGCTAAGTCTCTCGTCAAGGCTGCACCGGCGTGGCTGTATTAGTACCTCGCTTACATAAATACTACTTCTGGCAGAGTAATGGATGCTTCCTAAGCCTCCTATGAATGCATGCAAGAGGAACGGATGGGGTACTAATAGGAGGATGGGCTTCGAGGGTATCGGCTACTTATAGAGTGCGTCATGCGATTCTTTCCAGCAACCTTCTTTCTAAAAATCACCCCACCTCTGATTCTGCAAGGGGTCAAAATTGACTACAGGGAGAGTGGAATTCCCAACGGCCATTTTCAGGTGCATGCCGCTTAGTCGAGGCACGTTATTCAGGTGCATGCCAAGCTGCGTACACATTTCTCAGGTTAAATTATGTCTCGTAATTTCACATGTTGTTCAGGATTCGATTAAATTTGGCACAAAAGGTCTGAAATAGATGAAATTTCGGGCTACGCAAATCGGGATCGGAATGGTTGGCTCTCGATGCTTCATTTTCTGACGTCACTCAGTGCAATGATTGCATTTATGCCCAATTTCTACGCAAATTTTTGCTTTGCACCAGCTCATTTTGAACGAATTGTAATGGTAAATCGTTGTACTCTTGCCGCAGGTTGCGGACGCTTCGCTGGTCAAACCAGCAAACCCGAGCGGGACGTGCATTCTTTGGAAAGGGTAATCCGAAACACGAGAAATATGCCCGAGTGCTAGAAGAAGTAACCCCTACGGATATTAAGGATATATCGTACGTTACATGTATATTCAATGACACGTAATTAACGCCATGGCACACCACCTTTTCCAATATATATGTACGGCAAAACATTTTTGGTAGAGGCAATAATTTACAAACACTCACGAGCGGTTTGCTGATTTGCCATGCGCAGCGTCCGTCATCTGCGTCAACAGTACAACAGATCTAGCATTATATTCGTTCGAAAAGAGTTGGTGCAAAGCAAACAATTGCGTAGAAATTGGGCAGAAATGCAATCATTGCACTGAGTGACGTCAGAAAATGAAGCATCGAGAACCAACCATTCCGATCCCGATTTGCGCAGCCCGAAATTTCATTTATTTCAGACCTTTTGTGCCAAATTTAATCGAATCCTGAACAGCTCGTTTGATTACGAGAGACATAGTTTAACCTGAGAAACGTGTAAGCAACCTGGCATGCACCTGAAGAGCTTGTCTCGAATAAACGGCATGCACCTGAAAATGGCCGAATTCCCAAGGCCCGTGTCTGCTTGTTCAGTGGAATTCCCATCCCAGACCCCGTCTGCCTGTTGTCGAGTGGAATTTTGAAGGCCCGTGCCTGCCTGCGATTTGTTGCAGGGATCGGCTGGCACCAGAAAGTGTGGTGAGAGGCTTATCCGACGCCTGTAATGCCTTCTGACACCGAATCCTACGGTGATTGGTAATTTCGCTTGTCTGTCAGGTGGCTGGTCCTGGAGTGTGGCTGCAACTGGTGCGGCTCGGTCCCTTTTGGGGGAAACCTGCTTGAAGGTGTAGTTCTTCGATGAACAATTTAGGGCTGAAGGTTTCGGGTTCGGGTTTAGGGTTCATCAAGTGCAACCACGCACCTTCCAATGCAATAGGTATATTATTTGTGCAACAGGATAGAAATAGACACAATAATTACATATATCCTACTGTTCAACTGATGTTATCACACCCACTGTACCAGGTCAACAATTACACAATACATATGCAATCTGGAGCCACTGCAAGCAGCTCCCATGTTCAAGAAAAAGGAGAAGCAACCTTCTAGACCATGCAGCTTCCCTGCATAATATAGCAACCGGAATCCACCGAACACTGCAAGTGACATGACACAAAACTTGCAACATTTCCCACACAACCAGCCACAACATCCCACAAAGCACCCTCCCCAGTCCGCCCAACCCCACCAACACAACAGCCCCCACCACACCAAACACTAACGCGGCCCGGACAGGTTGAAAGCATCGAGCGAGATACCGTGGTGGTGTTCTCCCAGATAGCAGGCGTGTTAACCACCGCCATAACATCCTCGCCAGACATTTTCGCCGCCTCCTCCTGCCACTTCTCCCACTTGTCCGCCAGGGCCTTTCCAGAGAGCATCTTTGCCACCTCATCCATGGTTGGCCGATCCACCGCATCGTGCTTCATGCAGAGCAGTGCCACCTGGAGCATCTTTGCCACGTCAGCCTCGTCGTAGCCCAATCGCGTCAGGTCGTTGTCCACAAACTCAGGGATCTTGCCGTCACGGAGCATGTTGGCCACCTGGAGAGGGTTAGAAAAGGACAGAGAAGGAAGGAATAGGGAGGTCAAAGAATGAGCCAAGTGGACAAAGGTTGAGCAGATGGGAAGGCACGGACGGTGGGTGGAGGCGCCAAGGAAGGGACACAGCGCAAGGGCAGGCTGGAGATGTGCATCGAGGCACCTGACCAATTGTCTCATCCCGAGCAGAAGTGCGGGCTAGGGACTGGACCAGAAGGACGAGATGGCAAGCCAAGGGGAAGAAGCCTAAGAGCAACTCACCCAGTCCCTGAGCAGCAGCTCCTCCGCTTCGGGCGGCAGAGTGAGCTCAAACACGTCCTTGCCCGACACGAGCTCCAGGAGGAACACTCCAAACGCGTACACGTCCGTCTTCTCCGAGCACTGCCCGCTCACAAAGTACTCTGGGGCGATATGCCCGATGGTGCCCTTCACAGCAGTGGACGCGTGGCTCTCATGCACGTCCATCTCCTTGGCCAGCCCGAAATCAGCAATGACTGCTTCATCGTTCTCGTCGAGAAGCACGTTTGCGGCCTTGATGTCGCGATGAATGAGCTTCGGGTTGCAGTCGGTGTGCATGTATGCGATGCCCTCTGCTGCGCCGCGGGCCACCTTCATGCGTGTGTGCCAGTCCATGGGGTTACCCTCCTTGCCTGGCAGAGAGTTTTGGTGGGGTTGGGGGTAAATGCGGGCGGACAGGCAGGGAAAAGGAGGTGAATGGGCTTCAGATTGTTTTTATGGTTTATCTCAAAGAGTTGTGAAAAAACTATAAAAGACAAGGCAGGTTGCAATCCATGCGTACGCATGCCATGCCCTCCACTCCGCTCCATCGTTGAAGGGCTTGTATTCATCAGCTACACCGCACTGGACCGTATCCCACCTTGAGTGCGGGAGGCCACGGAGCCATTAGCATAGAAAGGCAGCACGAGCATGCACTCGCCCTTCTCCACACAGAAGCCCTCTGAGTGCATGACGTTACGATGCACGGCTCGGCTGATCAGCTCCACCTCCGACAGGAACATGAGCTCTCCACCCGACTTCTTCTCTCCTGTGAGAACACAAGGGTGAGTGGGCGTGAGGTGGTAGGACAGAGAGGAACGAAGAGGTGGTGAGCAAGAGGGGAAGCCCTCTGAGTGCATGACGTTGCGGCGCACGGCTCGGCTGATCAGCTCCACCTCCGACAGGAACATGAGCTCTCCACCCGACTTCTTCTCCTCTTGCGAGTGGCAGACAAGAGGCAACAAGGCAAGGAGAACGAGAGGGTTGCAGTGCACGGCTCGGCTGATCAGCTCCACCTCTGACAGCTCCACCTCTGACAGCTCCACCTCTGACAGCTCCACCTCTGAACGAACTAAGAGCTTGTACTTCCCAGAGGCGACACCCGACTCTTTCTTCGAGTCATACAGGGAAACCCGCAGAGCCCCCCTCGCCCAACGCGTCAACCCCACAGACCTGCCACTTCACCCCACATCACCTCACGCTACTGCACATCAACACTCCCCACCGCCTCCCACTCTTCCGCACCTTGATCCTCTTGACAGCAACGAACTTGCCGTCCTCCAGCTTGCCCTTGTACACCTTGCTGAACCCGCCCTCGCCTAGCATGTTGTCATCATCAAACCCGTTGGTGGCCTTGGACAGCTCGTCCACTGAAACCGCCTCAGAGTGCCGAAGTGACGGGTGGAGATTTGGGCTGCAGAGGAAGGGAGGGGGGGGAGGGCAGGAAGGAAAAGCACGGGAGTTGAGACCTGTTGGTGGCCTTGGACAGCTCGTCCACTGGGAATCGCCTCAGAGTGCCGAAGTGACGGGTGGAGATTTGGGCTGTAACAGGGAAGACAAGGGGGTTCGTACGGCAGTCGAGCAAGGGGGCAGGGGTTGGCATGAGACCCGTTGGTGGCCTTTGAGAGCTCGTCCACTGAGAGCTCGTCCACTGAGAGCTCGTCCACTGAGAGCTCGTCCACTGAGAACCGCCTCAGCGTGCCAACACGACAGGTCGAGATTTGGGCTGCATGGGGTGGAGCCAGCAGAGCCACCGGCAGAGCCACCAGCAGAAGGAGACGTAGAAGTAGAGCGCCACGCACAGCGCGAAGAACGCGAGCGCGCCCAGCAGAGCAGCCAGTACAGCCAGCAGCAGCAGCACACCATATGCCACTCCCAGTGCCCCCAACTCACTCTCAATGTCCTGCGCCAGCCTCTCTGCCTCCTCGCGCTTGCGTTTCTCCTCCTGCTTGAAGCGCACGTAGAAGAAGAGCGCCACGCACAGCGCGAACAGCGCGAGCGCGCCAAAGACGATTCCGATCACGGCTCCCACGCCCAGCCCCGTGGCCCCCGGGGGTGGTGGAGTTGCGTCCGGCGTGTAGATGTTGGGACAGCTCTTGTCCTTCACTGGGGGAGGGGAGAGGGGAAGAGTGGCGAACGGGAGGGGGGGGGGGGGGTGGGAGAGGAGAGGGGAAAGAGGGGGAAACGGAGGGGAGAGAGAGGGGAGGGGAAGAGGACGGGACGGAGACAATAACGAGATGATGAGAGGACGGGACGTAGAAGTAGAGCGCCACGCCCAGCGCGAAGAGCGCGAGCGCGCCAAAGACGATTCCGATCACGGCTCCCACGCCCAGCCCGTGGCCGGCGGCGGCGGCGGCGCGGCGACCGCCGTGTAGCTGTTGGGACAGCTCTTGTACGTCACTGGGGGAGAGGAGAGGGAAGGAGGGGGGGGGGGAGGGGGGGGGGGGGGGGGGGGGGGGGGGGGGGAGGGGAGGGGGGGGGAGGGGAGGGGAGGGGGGGCGGGGAGGGCGGGGGAAGGGACGGGAGGGGAGGGGAGGGGATAGATGGCTTTTTGAGTTAAAGGATGATGAAGCCTGAAGAACCAAGGGGAGGGGATGGGAGAGAACGAGTAAAGAGAACGAAGAACGAGAGGGAGATGAAAACAAAAGAGTGGGGAGGTGAGGAGAGGGCGGGGGGGGTATCACACGCATTTGCATGTGGATGTACATTTGAGTGTCCCAGCCATGTATATGTGAGTGTCCTGTATGTGCATGTGCATGTATATGTACATGTACATGTGAGTTTCCTGTATGTGTATGTGCATGTGCATGTATGTACATGGTGCCTTACCATTCAAGCATCCGGTGGTGTTCAGGTATGGGTTGCCCGCGAAGCTGCGCAAGGGGAGGGAGAAACACGAGGGAGGGGGAAGGGGGGAGAAGCACAAAAGGGGGAGAGGGGGAGGAAGGGGGAGAGGGGGGGAGGAAGGGGGGAGAAGCACAAAAGGGGGAGAGGGGGAGGAAGGGGGGGAGAAGCACAAAAGGGGGAGAGGGGGAGGAAGGGGGGGAGAAGCACCAAAGGGGGAGAGGGGGAGGAAGGGGGGGAGAAGCACCAAAGGGGGAGAGGGGGAGGAAGGGGGGGAGAAGCACAAAAGGGGGAGAGGGGGAGGAAGGGGGGGAGAAGCACAAAAGGGGGAGAGGGGGAGGAAGGGGGGGAGAAGCACAAAAGGGGGAGAGGGGGAGGAAGGGGGGGAGAAGCACAGAAGGGGGAGAGGGGGAGGAAGGGGGAGGGAGGAGAGGGAACGGGGAGAAGAACAGCGGGTGGGGGTGGGGAGGTGGTGGGGGACGGGGGGGGGGGAAAGCGGTGAGAAGCACAGCGGGGAACCCGGACACGTGCGAAGGGAACCAGGCACGTGCGAAGGGAACCAGACACGTGCGAAGGGAACCAGACACGTAGAAAAGAATAGTGAAGAAAATTGAAACTCATGCAAAACGCGGAAAGATTGAGCGGGTGGGGACGTGGCGGGGAGAGGGGAGGGCGGAGAGCGGGAAGAGGAGAGGGGCAACGAAGAAGGCATGGGGAGATAGACATGGGTAAAGGGAAAGCACGGATTGGTGGGGGATGGGAGGGGAGGAAGTGCGTGCATGGCACGGTGCGGTTCAATGCGGTGCGGTGAAGTGCAGTGCAAAACACTTACTCGGGCAACGAAGAAGGCATGGGGAGATAGACATTGGGTAAAGGGAAAGCACGGATTGGGGGGGATGGGAGGGGAGGAAGTGCGTGCATGGCACGGTGCGGTTCAATGCGGTGCGGTGAAGTGCAGTGCAAAACACTTACTCGGGGCAGGGGAACCGCTTGAAGCACCAGGGCAGGTTTCCGCTGAAGTTGTTGTTGGCGAGATGGCTGCGATTGCGAGGGACGGAACGACGGCAGGACGGGGCGACGTTAGGAGAATGAATGAGCACAAGAACGAGAGAGAGACGATGCGGACAACAGGAGGGTGGAATAGGTGAAAGAGACAACGAAAGAGGAGACAACGAAACATCAAGAGCCGAGGGAGGGTGAATGGGTGAGGAAAAGGAGGAAGTGTTGGGTGGGTGGGTTGGGCTGGGAAAAATAGGGGGGAAAGGGGGGGGGGGGGGATGTTGGGGTGGGGTGGAAACGGGGGAACGAGAGTGGGTGGGGGGGGTTGTGGGAATGAGAGGCGGGAGCAACGGGCGGAGAGGGGAAGGAGAGAGATTGGGCGTACACGCACTCGAGCTTAGCAGAGCATTGCGGGTAATGAGACGACTTTTGAGGGGCTTCAAAGTAAAGAGGGAAACCGGGCTTACAGGCACTCCGAGCTTGTCGAGGTAGCAGAGCATGTCGTCGAGCGTGCCGTTCAGCTGATGACCATCCAGGCGACTTTTGAGTCGACTCATAACACACGATGAGAGCAGAGAGCACTCGGGCTTACAGGCACTCGAGCTTGTCGAGGAAAGCAGAGCATTGCGGGTAATGAGACGACTTTTGAGGGGGCTTCAAAAGTCAAGAGGGAAACCGGGCTTACAGGCACTCGAGCTTGTCGAGGTAGCAGAGCATGTCGTCGAGCGTGCCGTTCAGCTGATTGCCCTCCAGGTTCAGCGACTTGAGACTCGGTGCCAGCCCAGCTGCGGCGGCTGCACATACAAATGACCAAGGGGGAAAGAGACACGGGAAAGGAGACACGGGAAAGAGACACGGGAAAGGAGACACGGGAAAGGAGACAGGGGAAAAGACACGGGAAAGAGACACGGGCGGGAGGAGAAGAGACATTGACATGTGTGAGTGACGAGGTTTGTTAGACTCAAAGACGCGTGACGACCAGCTCATTGCATTCTGGGTAGGTGAGCGACTGGAAGCTCGCTGCCCGCCCCGGCTGCGGCGGCTACCCGTAACATACGAAAAGAGAAGGCGCAAACAAGAGACGGCGCAAACAAGAGAAGGCGCAAACAAGAGAAGGCGCAAACAAGAGAAGGCACAAACAGAGCGTGTTTTTTGAGAATTCTCAAAAAACCTACCCGTAACATACGAAAAGAGAAGGCGCAAACAAGAGACGGCGTACACAAGAGACGTGCGTGACTCAGAAGATGGCGAGCTCGACACCTAATGGTCAACTATCCGTAACGCCACGTGGAGCTGTCCGTAACAGCACGTGGAGCTGTCCGTAACGGCACGTGGAGCTGTCCGTAACGGCCAAGTTATGAGGGTCAGAAGGGGGGTGAGGAGGCGGTGTTACTCACCAGAGGGCCCTCAAGAAGGTTGTAAGAGACGTCGCTGAGAGCGAGCAGCAATCCAGACGGGGTTGAACGGGGTTGAACGAGAGTCGGCAGCAATCCACGCGCATTGGAGAGAGTTCAGGTCGCGATTCCGACAGTTTCGAAAGAGGCGGCAATCAACGCAGAAAATCAAACGTGGCAAGGGAAGAGGCACGGGGGAACAGAAAGGAAATATGAGAAGATTGGCGAGACGGCGCCTAGAGAGCGGAACATTCCGAATCCCGCAACCATGGAAGGGGGAGGCAAAGCGGAAACTGCAGCAGCGGATTGAGAATATCTGTGGCCAAAAGGCTGGGAAACGAAGGGCTGGCAAGCGAATGGCTGGCAAGCGAAGGGCTGGCAAGCGAAGGGCTGGAAAGCGAAGGGCTGGAAAGCGAAGGGCTGGGAAGCAAAATACTGTAGGGCAGAGCGGACGAGGCACTTACAGGCGCTCGAGAAAGAGCACTCCCGAGATGTTCCAGTCCAAGCCACCCTGCAGCTTGGGCACGCCCGCCGGGAACGACGGGTAGCTCAGATCCCTGCGGAAAGGAGGGGTCGGAAGGGGTCGGGAGGGGTCGCGAGAGGTGGAGTGGATTAGGGGGGTGTAGGAAGAAGAAAGGGCCGACGAGGAGAGAGGAGAGGGGAAAAGAGGAGGAACGGGCGGGGACGACAGGGCGATGAGAGGACGAGCGGACGAGGCGATGAGACGACGAGAGTACGAGACGGCGACGAGACGACGAGACGACAAGTCGTTCGACGAGTCAACGAGATGGGGAATTGGCGACGACGAGAACGACGAAGCACGTACACGGAGATGACGTAGCCCTGGTCGTTGCAGGAGACGCCCGCGTACGGCAGGTCGGAGGTGTTGCCTGGGCACGGCCGGCCGACGGCGACGTTCCAAAAGGGCGCGGGGAAGTTGGTGAAGGAGGTCTCCTGCCATCCCAGCAGGAATGGGTCTGGCGGAACCGGGGCAGACGGAGGGAGAGGGAGAAAGAGAGAGACGGGGCGAGTGGACGAGGGGAGAGGAGGAAGACGTAGGGAGGAGCAGGATAAGAGATTTGTGAGTTGACTAAAAAAAACATTTCCAGCATAACAGCAGAAGGGGGGGCTGGTGGAAGCGATGGGGGGGTGAGAGGAGGTAGTGAGGATGGGGAGGGTGGAGGAATAGTGGTGCGATTGATTGAGGTGGGGAGGAGGGAAGGTGGGTCGTCAGAGGAAATGACAACGGTAGAAGGGCGAGATGAGCGAGGCGACAGGCTCGTGCAGTAAGCGCGTCTCAGGAGGAGAGAGTGAATAATAGGGCGAGGACCAAGTGCTTTGAGCGGCTGCTGCGCTTCCAACCGCTTCCGCGATGCTAAACGGAGATGAGATGTAAAACGGACAGCTTTACGGGAGCGCCAACCATCTTCATCCACTGATAGCTACTCACGTCGGAATTTACCATTCGTGATAGAAGCGCACAGCTACACGCACAAGCCGGGAACGACGTCGCTATCACGGGAAGACTCGTATCCCTCTTACACCAACATACAAAAAATTAAGCGGGTAATCCATTTGTGGTTGGCTTTGAACTAACTACACTACAAAAGGTACTTCGTACGGGAGAAAAACGAGATTGTGAACATCGACACGGTGGATATGGAAACAGCTACATAACGCGAGAGCCTCGCGCCATGAATGGCGCAGAAAAGAGTTAACATGAAGAGCGGGAAACTTACTGTCTCCTGCGTAGGCCGCTAGCATGTAGTCCATGCCTTGCATGCTAGTGCTTTGACCCTCCACTCGAAGCAGCGTCAATGATACCACCAATGCACACACCAGCCACCGAAACATTCGACTGTCTTGAGTGACCATCGCGTCTAGCTGGTGAGTATTGAAGTCAATAATAAAGACAATAGATTACACCAACGCTGATGGTGCTCTGGAGGCCTGTCTTGAAACTATGCCGCTCCTCGTGACAAGACACAAAGCACTACTGATCTACAAAACACCAGCACTTCACTGCGTTGTGGTTAGCGGAGCTACGTTTTGAACGCGTAAATGGCGAATGCGTAACCCTATTATTGCCTTGTTCTAACGTAGCTTATCCTGGAACTACGGTACTGCTGTCCTTTCTGAAAGCTGCTCTGTCTCCTCACTAGAACAAACATCTGTGACTTGGAAGTCAAAGTCGCTTTGTTCTCTGCTCCTCCTGAGTGAAGACTGCTCTTTTGGCGGTTGACTGGAATGGCGAGGGACTCCAAGATATCGAGGGACTGGTGGGGAGGAAGACAGGTCAGGCAGCAGGGAGGCATGGCATGGCAGGCAGGACGAGGGTTTCGTTTGGCTTGCGGTCAGGGAAAGGGACAGCGTTTTGTGTACAGTAAAGTTTGAGTTCGAGGTTCGGAGTCTTGGGAGTTGAGTTCCGTGGCTTGTCCTTTCAGGCTCGGAGTCGTGAACCTGGGATATCAAGCGCTAGAGAGGGGAGGCTTCCGAGCCACGCCGATCTGGCTGCAGCTATGGTTTTGCCATGCCATGTGACAGAGCAGAAACCACCTGACCGGACCCTGAAAGTTATAGAGGCCCCACCAGCAACATGTTTGGTGCTGTTGGTCGTCCATTTTCGCACATGACGGTGAGGCGCAACTGCCGCTTGCTCAGAGTGATTTGCCCCTCCGTTGAAGTTGGTTCGGGGTGGTGAACGAAGATTGGGCTTGGTGGTAAACATTGTTCTCACATTTCCTTCAAGTACACCCTGTTTCTCACTACACTGAACTGTGCTGAACTGATGGAAAACCTAGTTACCTTCGATTTGTCTGATTGAACCATACCTAGACTTAATCTAACCACCGTTAACCGTGCTTTTCCCATCTTGACTTTACTATAACCGAATTCACAATGGCGAGAAAGAGGGTGTAGAACTGTTCTCGGGCAAGAACAAAACAGGCTGACCAGGAAACCTGATTGACGAAAATGCGGCTGGTGGAATCGTGTGTCGTTTATGCTTTTCGCCGTTTTCTAAATTCTTCCGCCGACAGTCCAGCCGAAAAATGCAAGCACTGAAGAAACTGCCAAAAACCGCTTACATCAACCCCAACCGGTGTTACGGTGACTACACCACAATGCAAATTCAACAAAAAATGCATGAACAAAACTCTCTATACCTCAACATCACCAGTCAACATCTTGCAATGTTAGCTGAACCAGGGACACAACACATGATAAATGGCAGGTGTTGCAATTGAGCTTTGAGTGCATTTTCTTTACATCTTCACACAATATGCAAGCAGCCTAAGGTAGCTTTAACAGCCTCGTGCATCTAGTTTGCCGACAATCCAATCACACCTGCAATGGAAAGGTGTGAGGGAGGGTGGGGGGGAGAGGGGGGGACGTGAATGCAAAGACAAGCATACAAGTGGGTCCACGTGGCTGCGCGGCTACGATAAATAACAACCAATTAAAATACTTCACAATTATGGCACAATCAACACAGCTAGCATAGCAACTTACCACATGCCACCCTGCCACCAGCATTGCCCGTGGCCTTGCTCAGCTCAACACCACCTGCACGGTATCACCATGCACACATCACACACAATACACATATTATTGGGACAAGGGCAACCTGTACCATATGTACAGTTCTAGGCGGATATACAGCGAAATAATCACACAAAGCAAATGTGGAAGAGCGAACCTAGAGGCGAAAATACGCAGATAAATCCTTGGCCCGATAACACTTTGTGCATACCCACAGCGACCCCAACCTTGCTTCCCATCCTTCCCACTCACCCTTGCCCAAGTCGTCCGCATCAGCATGCGTGACAACAGCACAGCCAAGGACAGACTTGGAGCCTGAGCCAGAGACTGGAGTTTGTGGCGCCTCTAAAATCATTTCAAGAGCATCTCAGCCCCAAAACCTTGCTTCCCATCCTTCCCACTCACCCTTGCCCAAGTCATCCGCATCAGCATGCACGACAACAGCACGGCCAAGAACAGAGTTGGGACCCGAGAGAGGAATCTGGAGGTCAGTCAGAGACACAGTTGCCACACCTGAACCAGGGAGTTGGATAGTTCGACACGGGCGAGAACAAGAGAATGACAAAAAGGGGGTTGGATGTTCATAACTGTGAAGCAGGACTGGTAAATTTAAGAAGAAAACCCTCGTAAACTGCATTGCAACAAACGGATATCCATCAACTCACCAGACTCATTCGCCACCAGGTTTCCAAGGTCTCCTGCGTGCCTCTCACTATCCCCTGGTGCTCCATGGGTCTTGCCCGCCGGATTGAAGTGCGGGCCTGGTAGGGATCCAGTGAGTGTTACGTAAGAGGCAAAGACAAGAGTCTATGATTGACTCAAGTGACACCTAGGATGTCTCGACAGTCACCAGAGGGTAATGTTCTCACCATGATTACTATACCATAACAGCTACAGATAGAAATAAGAGAGCCCAGACGATGACCATGCCTATGTATAAATATAACAAGTCCACACCTGGCATGCACTCATTGGACAGGTCCATATTGTGCACGTGGAAGGCTTTCATTCAACATGTTGCATGCGGACTCGTTATAGCACATATTACGAGTACAACCTGCTCTCTCACCAGTGGACATGCAGCCGTTGGGGAGGTCCCCCAGCTTGTGCACGTGGAAGCCGTGAAGGATTTCAGCCAGTCTGTCTCAGACTCGTTATAGCACAGCTCTGTAACAAGCACAAGAAACCCTTACCAGTGGACATGCAGCCGTTGGAGAGGTCTCCCAGCTTGTGCACGTGGAAGCCGTGCAGGCCTGGAGTCAGCCCTGCCACTGTCGCACTCACTTCCGTGGGGCCTGGGGGAAGTGAGATGGCGGAGATGGGGGAGATCAAAGGGGAAAGGACCAGGATAGGGGATCAGCGGGATGGATGGGATGGGAGCTGTGAATACTCCTGATGCTGGGAACTGGAATTACGATACAGGCAGGCCCGAGAGTCAGCCCTCCAATGTACTCCCTTCTGCAGGGCCTGGAGTTTTCGAGGATGGTGGGAGTGGATGCGAAGGAACGAGAATAGGACAGCAGGAAGGAGGGGAAATAAAAAAGAAAATGCTTTCAGAGTTGATGTCGGCCCTGAAGCGGGCGCAAAGGACGGGGAAGCGGCTCAAGGGTTCTGCCATTGTCGATTGTTCAATGTCAAGCATAGCCAATCCCCTCTGCCGGTTACAAGGCGCCTCAGGAGCGTCAGAGTCATATTGGGATGAAAATCGTATTTGCCTGATCCTTGCTCAATCCCTCCCGCCAACGGTACATAGCTACCTCTTTTGATCTTGGGAAATTCCAGATTGCATCCATTCTCAAAGTAACCAAATAATCTGAAAGTCTGAAGGATGCACCATTTGATTCGCGAATTTACCTGATCCCTCCTGCGAGAATGTGACGGTCCCGGAAACCCCGGAGCTCCCCGTCAGTACGGCGACGGCGTTAATTCCTGCTGCCGACGCGGCTGCGGGGGAGAGCGGCATGGCGAGGAGAGCGGCAAGCACGGCGGGGACTGCCATCTTGGCAATGACAGATGAGGGACCCCTTGAAAAGTCGGAAGATTCCGTCTTCATGCTACTGCGAACGCGGATCACGGACGTCCTCGCGCATGCTGATTGGCTGTTCACGGAGGGTCGTGAAGCCGAGGGGAGACCAGTCGCGGGAGCAAGGGACGGGGCGACGCGAAGGGACGCGGAAATCAGACCGCAGGATGCCATTGCGTTGGGTGGCGAAGCGGGCAACAAGTTCCTCACAGGCGGAGAACCGGCAATGGCGGACCCGCAATTGGCGCTGTGGAATCTTGGCAGCTGAAGCGTGCTGGTTGCGGTAGCTTGGTGGTTTGGAATGTGATGGTGATGGGAACATGTAGGTGACCAGTTCTGGAGGGGAATTCAGAGGTACCGAGCACAGTACTGCACCATACGGTAACGCACTATAAACCGGGTTATTAGACTACTCTGGGCGACGTTTCAGGTGTGAAGTGCGGGAAAGGTGTCACAGTTGTGATTCGCTCACGAGTTGGCTTTTTGCAGAAATTCCTGAATTTGGTCTCCTTCCTGACGCTTCCACGTCTGGAAACACGTCAGCAGCGCACACGTGGCCTTCGGCAAGATTGAAGTGCAAATCTGGATCCTTGAGGAAAATGTTCCACTAATCGTTGTATCGTTACAATTCAGTAATCCGAAACCATCATACAGACGTTTCTCTGGGTAAGCTGGTTAAGTGATTATCTAAGCTGCTGCTTGGAAGCCGATAACACCTGCCAGAGACAAAAAGAAACTCATGAGCCCGGTACATACATACTCAACTAGGATAGCCACGGATTTTTTACGGGAACCACATGAAGTTGGATGTGCTAGTGGTTAGCTTACCGCATGCAAGCCTGCCTCCAGCATTCCCGGTGGTTTTGCTGAGCTCGTGACCACCTGGATGGGGTAACAGATGCATGACGATTCAAAATATACAAATCGTGAGGTTTATTAGCCGACTACATCCTCTCAAGAATACCACCAGCAGACCTTAGGGTGCGTCAGATCCGCTATAATGTGATTTGGCTGCAAATTTGTTGCCCTTTTGGTCAACTATATTTTTCGCCAAAGTCGGCCGAATGATCGAATGCTAAACCGACCACCATCCAGCCACATTTTCAAGGTGTTGCAATCCGACAGATTTGGTGGCCGATTTACAGGCCGGTTTGCAAAAGTGTCAGATTTGCAGGTCGCACAGTTGGCCGGATTGTGCGACGGAGTCGCATGTATTGTTACTGAAGTGACACGACCGCTAATGTGCACACTACGATCAGACACGTTGAGTCGCTTGGGTATGTTGGCCAAGTCGCATAGTACTGTAGCGCTGACGAGTCAACAAGGTGGTCGACTCTCGATTCGTTTGCACGTCGGAAAGTTGTCGAATGCTAAACCGGCCATCAAACCGGCCATCAAATTTTTATCAGGTGGCCGGATCGTGCGAAGTTAACGAAATACCCTGCGAATGTCGTGAATGTGTAACCTTCGCTAGATCCGGCCGGCCGGATTTTTCCGACAATGGATCTGACGCACCCTTACAATCCACTGTTCACTCATCACCCTCCTTGCATGCTCTCACCCTTGCCAAGGTCGTCGATGTCAGCATGCACGACAACAGCACGGCCAATGATAGAGTTAGGGCCAGACAGAGGGATCTGAAGGTTGGGGTGGAGGAGGGGGGAGGATGAGTGCATGATAGTACGTGGCCGGCAATTGCACAGAAAATTGAAGAGAAATCACAATTTGGGGAAGGGAGAACTGAGAGCCAAATGCATACCTGTGAATCTGTTATGGTGAACTCCGCAACCCCTGCAAAAACGATCATGGCACCAATTCCAGAATAAGACTTGGAAGTAAGAAGCTTGCAAACTTCTCACTGCACCTGGTAGGAACTTGCACAAACACATGGTCATGCAGAAGAGCGAGTGGAAACGCGAAACTATTGAATGGCGGTCTCCATTCTAAAAAGGCACCCTTACCAGCCTCATCAGCAACGACATTCCCAAGGTCTCCCGCGTGCCTCTCCTCGTCTTCCGGAGCGCCGTGAGTTTTGTTCGCCGGATTGAAGTGCGGCCTGACGTAGATCAGCCAGTGGCGGAAACCGACAACGTACGCAAATTGATGAAATTGCAGAGACCTTCCAAGGTCGAGATGTGTCAGAGGATCTTGCACTAACGTGAATTCGGGCAAGAACAACGATGATAGACGTGAATCCAAGGCAAAGACCACGAGAGGCGGATATAGGATACGGGCAGACGTTCCGTCGCGGACAAACTTAACAAATCAAGAATACAGAAAACGGCAGGACATGCAGAGGTGCCTCGATTTCGAGAACGAACTTACGAATGACAAGCGGTAAACAATTCGACTTCATTTCTGGGGGCAGGGATATGAGTGCGACCTGTGGACATGCAGCCGTTCGTGGTGTCACCCAGGGCGTGCACGTGAAATCCGTGAAGCCCGGGCTTGAGGCCAGTGATCTTGCCGTTCACCACAGTCGAGCCTGATAGCACGGCGTTACAGATAGCGATCTTTTTGTCAGAACAATTAATCATGATGTCACTGTCACTGTCACTTTGATTTTCACCGTAAAAGAGTGGATTAGGAAGACATAGAGACTCACCAGATTCGAGCTGCTCAAAGGTGACAGTGCCACTGACACCCTCGGAGCCGGTAAGAACCACTACAGCCTTGATCGTCATGTTGGCTGGTGAACACGAGCAGTTTGAGATAAAACTGCTGAAGGAGTCCAGAAAACCACAAAACAGACACTCAAAACAACTGAAACGTATCTCCCCATCTCAGGTTGCGATGCTAGCTGCTCGTGCTGGAAAGTTCCAGCAGCTGCTGCGAACCACTGGAGGAAGGGAGGGGAACCACTGCCGAAATTCCTTCGTTGCACATACACGGATGCCCGTCAGAGCGAATTTGTGCTTCGCGAGCAGCTATTGGTGGCGACCATGCACACAGGCTAAAACGTGGTGACCGTCAAACTTTTGTTCCCTAAGCCCGTCAGCACTAACTGGAATCCTCTGCACGTCAATGTGACTGACGCTGTCGGTAAATGCTCGCAGAGGAATCCGCGGTTCGCCATAGCAGCCTTGGTGACGACGACCAGAGAGAGTGATCGACGGACAGTTCGACGTATCCAGTCATGTTTGACGTCAATCGACGACTCCTGTGCAATGGGCGCATCCGATTGCGATACAGTCAACCGATACATCTTTGAAGTTTGAATGGGAGTACCCTTTCCCACGTTCCGTATGAGAAAACGAGAAGCTTGCAATAATGATAGTTTCCCTCATACTTCACGACTGGTTAGGTGCAGGATCATTATGAGAAGCAACGCCGCTGCAATACGGTATGCTGAATTCACAATAAAAATGCCGTTGCAATGCAATGCAGCGTCAACAATCTAAACTTGTCTGTTACAAAAATCATCAACGCAAGTGCCCTTAATGAATGCTCTGGTTGTTCGGGAAGGGAGTTATCACGGACGTCCTATGAATACAGGTAGCACATGTGATTAACTTGCTGGAGGTGACATGTCGGCCATTATAGCATGTACCACGGCACTCAGCTTCTTTCAGTCTGCAGTTTCGAGCGCTCAATCAAAAGACTGCACTTTTGTGCACTAAGCTCCTACCAAGCCCATGTGCACAAGGATCGGGACAAACCTCGTATCAATATGCCCCACATAAGCCATATGGCTATTGCTGAGTCATTTTTCTTCAGAGTCCAAACCTGCCTGTCTATCCTTCAGCTGTGAAGGGATCTACTTCCCCAACATCAGCCAGGAGCGGGGGCAGCGCTGTCAAATCCTCCCCAGGTGTGGGGTAGAAGGTAGGGAAGGGCAGCTGCAGCCCACCATACTCTTTCGCGTCTGGCCCCTGCACCTCGTGCTTCCTCACTGCATCCTTCACAAACACAAAGTTGCCACTGTGCCCGGGAACCTGTTGGGAAGGGACAAATTATACAGATTAAGGCACAGACCGGCCTCAACATAGCACCCACCTGTCCCTTCTTCACTCACAGCAACAAACTTGCTGGTTCCACCTTGTACACCCACACGCTCTGCACCGTCCTCCACCCACCTCCTTCCAAGCCCAGAACAATGCCCTGTTAGGTCGTTGAAGAACTCACCTGCCCCTTCACCCACAGCAGCCCTCTGGAAGGTTCCACCTTGTACACCCACACGCTCTGCACCGTGCGCTGCTTGTTGCCCATCTGCCCCGCCATCTTCTTGTTCTTGAACACCTGAGGTGGAGCAAAGGGAGCAGGGGAGCAGGGGTAGCAGGGAAGCAGGCGGAGCAGGGGGGGCAGGGGGAGCAGGGGGTGCAGGAAAAAAATGCAACAATGGGGACAAGTAATGCGCACATGCAACAATCAGTAAATAGCGTTGATAAATCGTTTTGTTCCTAGGCACCAGCGAGAGAGGAGGGGTCAAGGGACCAGCGAGAGAGGAGGGGTCAAGGGACCAGCGAGAGAGGAGGGGTCAAGGGACCAGCGAGAGAGGAGGGGTCAAGGGACCAGCGAGAGAGGAGGGGTCAAGGCACCAGCGAGAGAGGAGGGGTCAAGGGACCAGCAATGCACTCTTACCCCTACATGTGCTCTTTTGTTCTAGCAAGTAACTTTGAGCATGCCTGCTACCAATCTCACCTTGCCGGGGTTCTGCCGGCCTCCTGTGGATCCATGGCTTCGATGTGAGAGAGCGATGCTCCGTGGGATGCAACCTCGACACACACACTCACTGCAGTCTTACCGCATCATGCCTGCAGCAACCAGCCTCACCTTGCCGGGGTCCTGCCGGCCGCCAGTAGACCCGTGGGTTCGATGCGAGAGCGACGCTCCATGGGATGCGGGCATGCCCTTGAAAATACACGTTCTCTAGCAACAAATGCCTGCAACCCGCCTCAAGTTGTCGGGGTCCTGCCGGCCGCCAGTAGAATTGTGGCTTCAATGGAAGAGAGACGCTCCGTGGGATGCAACCTCAACACACACACACACTCACTGCAGTCTCACCGCACCATGCCGGCTTGCAACCAGCCTCACCTTGCCAGGGTCCTGTCGGCCTCCTGTGGAACCGTGGCTTCGATGTGAGAGTGATGCTCCGTGGGATGCGGGCATGCCCTTGAACCCCCACCGCTTCATGGGACCCTATGAATGGGGAAAGGGGAAAAAGGAGAGGGGAGGGTAAGGGCGAAGGAATGGGGGTGAAGGAGAGGGAAAGCTGGGGAGGGGGGGTTAAGATCCAACTCTGCAAAAACCACAAAGTGTACGAAAACCACAAAGTATACGAAAACCACAAAGTATACGAAAACCACACCCAAAATCCTTCTTAGGAACCTCACTTCAAAGCCACACCTGGATCTCACAATCACAACAACCATACCTGGAACCCCTTCCCCACGGTGGTCCCTGTGACGTCCACAAACTGCCCGGGAACAAAATGCCGCACGTCTATGGGCGTGCCCACGGGCAGAATACAATCCTCTGACACACGGAACTCCACTAGTTTTCGCTTCAAAGGCACCCCTGCTGCCCGGAAATGCCCCAGCTCCGGTTTGGTCAGCTGCTTGGGTTTTTCTGCCCGGACCCGATTTGCAGGGAAGTGTAGCCTTCTTTCTCCCTTGTTTTCACCTGGGTGGGGAAGATGAGGGAAAGAGAGGGAAAAGGTTCAGAAAAAAGGGTTACAATTGAAGATCCCAACTGTACCTACCCCATTTCGTTGTAACACCTTTCCCAGCCACAGCTTCACTGCCAGCTCTACCCTAATCATCATCCCCAATCGCACCTACCCTAGTTGTACCCTCCCCAGTCGCACCTACCCTAGTTGTACCCTCCCCAGTCGCACCTACCCTAGTTGTACCCTCCCCAGTCGCACCTACCCTAGTTGTACCCTCCCCAGTCGCACTACCTAGGCACCTGCCCCAACCACAGCATATCTACCTAACCCAGTCTTCCCTACACCAGTTGTCCCTACCCCCAGAACAAGGTCCCTAACCCTGTCGCACCTGCACGACTTGAATGTCGTCTATCCAGAGCACAGTCAGGCACATGCCTACCCACCCCAGTCGTACCCACCCCAGTCGTACCCACCCCAGTCGTACCCACCCAGCCCCAGTCGTACCCACCCCAGTCATACCCACCCCAGTCGTACCCACCCCGGTCGTACCCACCCCAGTCGTACCCACCCCAGTCGTACCCACCCCAGTCTTACCCACCCCAGTCTTACCCACCCCAGTCGTACCCACCCCAGTCTTACCCACCCCAGTCGTACCCACCCCAGTCTTACCCACCCCAGTCGTACCCACCCCAGTCTTACCCACCCCAGTCGTACCTAACTCAGGACTAGGTCCTTAACCCTGTCGCACCAGCACGACTTGGTTGTCGTCTATCCAGAGCACACTAAGGCATAACTACCCCAACCACAGCATACCTACTCCAGTCGTCCTACCCCAGCCGTACCTGCATTCATGAACCATACCTGCACGACTTGGTTGTCGTCTATCCACAGCAAGGTAGAAAAAAACGATTGTCGAAAAATACGATTGTTTTTTTCGATGGTTTTTTACGGTATCTTTTGGGAAAAAAACGTCGCTTTTTTGTTAGACAAAAAAACTCTTCAACTTCAAAGATGCTGTTCTGATCACAAAAGCACTTCTAACAATCTTCCGCTGCATCATCAGCACTTCTAACGGCCCCCTTGTTCTTCTCACCAGTCAATCCCCTTGTTTCAGCAGCAGTTTTGGTCTTTTTACTGAAAAAAACGAAGGTATTGCAACGCTCCAGGGTAGCCAGCAGTTTTGCACCAAAAGTACTTATTTTCAAAAACCGTTTTTTATCGTTTTTTACGATCGTTTCTTACGATACGGTATTTTACGATCAAAAATTGAAAAAAACGTCGTTTTTTTGCACCTTGATCCACAGCGCAGTCGGGCATGTACCTACCTACCCCAGTCGTACCCACCCCAGTCGTACCTAACCCAGGACTAGGTCCCTACCCCAGTCATACCTGCACGACTTGGTTGTCGTCTATCCAGAGCACAGTCAGGGGGATCCTAACCCCCCACTTGTCCCACGTGGCAGTCATCCCGCATTTCACGGCGATCGCGCCCGTGCGCACGGATCTCCCCGCGGTCAGCCCTTCGTCGTCGTCATCCTCCCCCCATCCGCGGACCACCTCCTCCGCCTCCTCCGCCGCCGCTGCCGGAGCGGCGGAAGCGGCGGATGCGGAGTGGAAATTCCGCGAGTGAATTTGTGCGGTGGAAGCGGAAGCGGAAGCGGCGGGAGTGAGTTGCGGAGGAGCGGAAAGATGCGCGGAGAGGAGGCTCCGCGTGCAGCTTGGTAACCCGCGAAGCAGATCGACTCTCAAGATCTGATCGCCGGCGGCAGCGGCGGCGCCGGCGCCGGCAGCGGCGGAAGAATCAAACACTCTGGTGTATAGCTGAGACACGGGAGTGAGGGCGGGAGCATGGTGAATGGAGTAATGACCGTGTGGACAATTGGGGTAATGGTAAGTCGAATGGTGATGGATTAAAGGCGGGGTTCTGGCGGTTCGGCGGCTTCGCGACGCGCTTCTGACGCTCTGCGCTGCCACGGAGCCAAGCCGCCGGAACATCATGACGACAGCAGACGGTGGTGTTAGGAACGCCGCGCAAGCGACGAGGGAGGGGGAGCACTAAGGGAGCGTGAGTAACGGTTAGCAAGGAGCGAGAAGGACTGGCGGTAAGGTCGTCCAAAAACTACGGGCGGCTCGTGTTTGGATCCGTTGCCTCACCGCGTAGCCGCCAAAACCACATACTGGTGAAACCGAGGAATAAGTGGCACAGTATTCACGGTGTTGAGTGCTCCGATGCTAAACTACAATCGCCAATCTCAGATGTGTAAAGCTGCGTATTTGAACAATCCAGAATGTGTATTTATTTTCTTGTTCCTCCTGCATTGGAGGTGGGTGCTTTTCATTGGCTCGCGCTGGTGGCAGCTGGCGAATCCTGACGAATCAGCGCGCTACTCATCTGTGGAAGCTGTCTTCATTGCGAGTACAACTACGAAGGGTAACGTTGGTCGTCATAGGTTTCGCAAACTGATGCCTCGTGCATGAGTTTCCTCACGAAACCAAGTTCTGATTCAGGACCAAAAACCACGAGATTTCACGGACCAGTCATCTTGATTCTACTCGCTCGGTTCTACTCTGTTGTGGGCCGTTTGGGATCATCCTTGACTTGTGGGACTATTGAAAGTTTTTGTGGTCTTTATAGCTTCATTTAGGAGTACTATTGTCAACTCAAGGCGCGACGTTGTTTTTTTCGCTCCGTCCCCATCAGATCAGTTTCATTTCTCAGCAATCCACGACGGCACCGACCTCGCTACAGCCTCTCGTTCCTCACGATATCGTTCTTGCAAAGACTACGCTTTCGCCGGTCAAGGCTTCATTCTCCATGCTCCTGAATCTTACAGAGAGTAAACCTCGTGCGTTTCGGTCAAGGTTTCTTTCTTCATCTTCCGGAAGCTTCCAGCAGTTCCGTCGCCCTGCGGGTTTTTAAAGCGCTTCAAAAGTCGACCTCGTTCTCCGCCGTCCAAACGGCTTTCTACGTGTCACGTCGCCCTGCGGGCTCTACATGTTCCGTGCAATCAACCTTTTCCATGTTCCTGAAGCTTACGGCGAGTAGACCTCGTGCTCCTGACCTCGTGCTCTCTCGTCGGGACTTTTGTTCTCCATGTTTATGAATCTTCCCGTGATCACACCTCGTGCTCGAGCTGTCAAAAGAGGACAGGTGGGCTGCGAAGGCCTCGTGATCACACCTCGTGCTCGCCGGTGAGGGCTTCTTTCTCCAAGTCACTGAATCTTCCAGCGGTTCCATCGCCCTGCGGTTTTTTCGAGCGCTCTAAACTCGACCTCGCACACTCGGATCAAAGCTGCATTCCCCATGTTTCTGAATCTTCCAGACGTCCCTACAACCACAGCCTACCATGGGGTCGCTTCCCAGAAGGCAATGCCTCGCCTGGCTCCTCCGCGCCAAATTATGAATGTTTTCTTTCGCTTTTGACCTTTCAGTCGACTCAAAAGGCACCTCGTGAAAAGGCACGTCTTTCCAGCTGTCACCGCCGTCCTCTGCCATGGGGTCGTTAGCCAGAAGGCGGTGCCTCGCCTGGCTCCTCCACGCCAGTGAAACCGCACCTGTTGCTTCCAGACTTCCCTTTGCACTTCCCAAGAATCAGCTCATACGCGTAATAAGCAATTCCGTCAACTCTCCCTGCTCCAACTCCTCCAACACGAAACACGTCCTCAGAATTGCCGATACCTGCAAGACTTTCGAGAACTCCAGGTCGCGTTCGCCAGCTGCCTCTGTGCTGGCAGCGGTGGTTACCAGTGGACCTACCGGTGACACGGGCAGGGCGGGTGTCCGGAGCCTTCACCCTTCCCCGCATGTGAGGGTGTTTCATGCCTCTGCGCTGGCAGCAGTGGTTACAGGCGGTGCAAATGGGGGTGACACAGGCAAGGCGGGTGTGGGGGGGCTGCAGCCTTCTTCCCCGCATGTGAGGGTGTTTCATGCCTCTGCGCTGGCAGCAGTGGTTACAGGCGGTGCAACTGGGGGTGACACAGGCAAGGCGGGTGTGGGGGGGGCTGCAGCCTTCTTCCCCGCATGTGAGGGTGTTTCATGCCTCGGCGCCGGCAGCAGTGGTGACAGGCACGACAGGTGACACGGGCAAGGCGGGTGTGAGGGGGCTGCAGCCCGCCCTTGAGGGCTCAAGCGAGCATGCTGGGGAGGCGGGGCGGTCCAAGCTGGTGGAGGCGTTTCAGATTCAAGTGAGTGGCTGGCAGGTGTGGATTGTGCGACGTGCATGGGGTGCGAGTTTTGAGTTGACTCAAACTCGTGAGTCGTAGGCAGATGTGCATGGCACGAGAGTATGCTGGGGAGGCGGGGCGGTCGAAGCTGGTGGAGGCGTTTCAGATTCAAGTGAGTGGCTGGCAGGTGTGCATGAGAGTGTGCATGGCACTCTGCTTAGACCCACACGAGCATGCAGGAGAGGAGGGGCAGGGCGGTCGAAGCTGGAGGAGGCGTTTCAAATTCAAGCTGCGTAAATGAGCATTAGAAAGATCCGACTAAGCTATAGATAAGAGTATATCTTCTCACCCGTTACATTCTCTCTTTTTCTCCCTCTCATTTCGTCCCCTGATTTTCTATCCCACCTCTCCTCGTTGTGTTCTCCCATCCTTTCTCACAGGCAGCATCAGACCCCATGCATGGCTTCATGGTTGCGCTGCGTAAGTCCGAGCTTGGTTTTCAGACCGGCCTTGCATGTTTGAGGTCTCGAATGCCATCCTTCCATTGTCGCTCACTCCTCCTCCACCTCTTTTTCAAGCCCCCCCGCTTCCCCTCCCCTCCCCCCCCCCCCCCCCCGCACAGGCAGCATCAGACCCCATGCGTGGCTTCATGGTGGCGCTGCGGAAGTCCGAGCTCGGTTTTGAGACCGGCCTTGCGCTGAGGGACCTGCGAGTGGTCATTTCCGCCCTGCAGAACCAGGTGCGGCGATGAAGCTACCGAACCAGGTAGGCTGCCGAACCAGGTGGCTTGCCAATCATGTAGGCTGCCGATCCAGTTGGGCTACCAAACCAGGTGAGCTGCCGAACCAGGTTAGCTGCCAAACCAGGTGAGCTGCCAAACCAGGTGAGCTGCCGAACCAGGTTAGCTGCCGAACCAGGTGAGCTACTGAACCAGGTTAGCTGCCGAACCAGGTGAGCTGCCGAACCAGGTTAGCTGCCGAACCAGGTTAGCTGCCGAACCAGGTTAGCTGCCGAACCAGATTAGCTGCCGAACCAGGTTAGCTGCCTAACCAGGTTAGCTGCCCTCAACACTTCCTCTCCCCGCTTTCTTTCCTCTCCTCTTCCGAATTCTACCCGGACTCAACCCATCCCCTAGATCCCTTTTATTCTCATTCTCGAGTCTGGCGCACGTGAGAGCAGTCATCACAGCCAACCGCGCCTACGTCTCAACATCTCCTCTTTTGAGTCGACTCAAAAGCCTACGTCTCAACATCTCCTCTTTTTTCTCTTCCCCCGCCTTTCTCTACCCCCGCTTCCCCCGTCCTCCTCCACCCAACCCAACTAGATTTTCACTGTCCTCATCCGCCCGCCGCCCGTGGGCCATACTGGTGAGTCTCGTGCACGTGAGGGCAGTCATCACAGCCAACTGCGCCTACGTCTTCAACACCTCCCATCCTCTCTTTTTCCTCTCCTGTCTCTACCCCTCCCTTCCCCCTTATCCCCCGGCCCTTGTCCTTTGTGCCACAGATCCCCACTATCCTCATCCGCCCACGGGCCATAGTGGTGAGTCTGGCGCACGTGAGGGCAGTCATCACAGCCAACCGCGCATATGTCCTCAACACCTCCTCTTCCCCACTATCTTCCCTCTCCTTTCCTGTACTCTCTCCCCACTTCCAACCACTTCCCGTGACTGGTCTCCTTATTCCCCATATCCCCCCTCTACAGATCCCCACCATTCTCATCCGCCCGCGGGCCATAGTGGTGAGTCTGGCGCACGTGAGAGCAGTCATCACAGCCAACCGCGCCTACGTCCTCAACACCTCCTCGCCCCGCGTGCGGCAACGACTCATCCCCACCCTCCTGCGCCGCCTCTCTGCTTCGCGCTCGGCCGCTGCTGCTGCTGCTGCTGGTGCTGGTTCTGGTGGTGGGGGTGCTGGGTGTGATGTTTGCTCTCCCCCATCGCCCTCCTCCCCAGCTTCGTTTTCGGGGTCGGATACGTTTTTCTCGGGTGCTGTGACGGTGTTTTCTGACTGCGGGGGTGAACCTCAGGGGAGTGAGGTGCGTGGATTGGAGGAGGGAAGGGATAAGAGGGGGGTGGAGCTAAGGGAGCTGGAACGGGAGGAACAGCTGCAGGAGAGGCAGCAGCGACAGGAAGGGCAGCAGAAGGTACTGGGGCAGGAATATGGAGAGGTACAGGGGCAGGGGCAGGGGGAGGGGCAGGGGCAGGGGCGAGAGCAGTGGGGTTCTGATGTGTGGGGTGGTGAGGAAAGCAGGTGTAGGGAGAGTGGGAGGGAGGTGACGGGAGTGTGTGGGAGAGGAGAGGATGATTATGAAGCGAGGGGGCATGGAGAGAGAAGGGAGGGAATTTTCTTAGAAGAGGAGAGGGAGGAGAGGAGAGGGGGTGCTAAAAGGGATGATGGGACGGATGGTGGGAGGACTGATGAGCGAGAAGAGGAGTGGTGTCAGGGGTGGCAGGAGGAGGTATCTGAGAGGAGGAGAGAGGAGTGGAGGGCGAGGAGGCAGAGAGAGGAGGAGAGGAGGAGGAACAAGCGATGGCTGGAGGATTTGGAGAAAGAAAGCAAGGGAAGGTTCAGTGAAGCTTCGAATGGAGAGGAGGAGGAGGGGGAGGGGGGGCGGGAGCACGGGGATGGGCATTTGATTGGGAGTGACGGGCAGTGGGAGCGATACGGGGAGGTGCTTCTGCTGGAGTTGACTCAGAAAGACGGTGTTCTGTTAAAGCCTGGTCAGGCAGGGCAGTTGGGTCAGCCGGGCCAGTTAGGTCAGTCGGAGCAGCCCAGTCTAATGTCACAAGGGGAGGTGCTTGTAAGGGAGGGTGAGGCGAAGACAAGGCAAAGGGGAGGGGAAAAAGGGGAGGAGGGGAGCAGAGTGGATGGAGGAAGTGGGGGGTGGGTAAGAAGGGAAACGAGGGAGCAGGAGAAGGCTAAGGGAGGGGAAGAGAGGAGGTGGGTGGAGCATCTGGAAGGTAGGGGAAGGACGGGAGGAGTAGAGGGTGTGAGGGGTGGAGTGGTGGGTGGGAGTGGTGGAGAGGCGAGTGGAAGGGGTGCTGGAGAGAGTAAGATAGACATGAGGGATGCTAGTACCACTACCACCACCAACGACAACACCACGAACAATAACAGCACGAAACACCCTCCCCAGTCCACAGCAGCCCTGACCATACCCAGGGTCGCACCCACCCCGTTTGAATTCCAAGTCCTAGAGGCCCTTCTAGACGAGGTCGGGGTGACTCTGAAGGTCAAGTACGCGTCCATATTCCCGGGCGTGTACCAGGGCTTGAGGGCGTTCGCCGGGGGGCGAGTGCCGTATGAGCGGGCCATGGCGGAGCAAGAGGCGTTTCTGAGAGCCAAGAACGAGCTGCTGCGGCTGGAGCGGAGCGCGAATCAGATATGCAACGCCGTCCGGGAAGTGCTGTCGAATGATGAGGTGAGCACATGAGGGGAAGGGGGTGGAGGGGATGTGTGTAAAGGCGTTCCTGACTCCTGAGAGCTGAAATTGAGCTGCTGTGGCTGGAGAGGAGCGCCAACCAGATCTGCAACGCCGTCCGTGAAGTGCTGTCAAATGATGAGGTGAGCATGGTTTGGTATAGAATTCATCTGAGGAGCCTCAGAAGGAGGCCTCTGAAAACGAGATGCTGAGTCTACGAATGAGAGTCAAGTAAATCCGCAGTGCTCAGGGTGGGGAGGGGATGAGTGCGTCTTTTCTTCCTGCTTTTGAGGCGTCTCGTAACATAGATGGTGAGGGTGGGATGAAACGTGTTTTTTCTTTCCATTCCATGTCAGGAGATGGCCGCGATGTACCTGTCGAGGAAAGCCTCCCTCACCTCTGGTGCCACCAGCAGTGGGAAGGGGAGCACAGCAACGTGGAGGAGTTTTGAGGCGCCTCAAAAGTCGTTTTGAGGCACCTCAAAAGAAAGCCTCCCTCACCTCTGGTGCCACCAGCAATGGGGTGGGGAGCACAGCAACGTGGAGGAGTTTTTGGACGACCACCTGAGGCGGGTTGACTTTTGAGTCGACTCAAAAGTGGAGGAGTTGTTGGAAGACCACCTGAGGCGCATGGACGAGGTGGTGGGGGAGGCGGCTTACATGCTCCTCCTCCGACGTCCCTTCCCTTCCCTTTCCCACAGGACATGGCAAAGATGCACCTGTCAAGGAAAGCCTTTCTTTCTCCTAGGGGAAACCAACAGTGGGAAGCACAGCGAGGTGGAGGAATTGTCGGAAGACCACCTGAGGCGCATGGAAGAGGTGGGGGGGGGGGGGGTGACTTTTGAGTCGACTCAAAAGTCAGCTGAGGCGCATGGAAGAGGTGGGGGGGGGGGGGGGTGACTTTTGAGTCGACTCAAAAGTCAGCTGAGGCGCATGGAAGAGGTGGGGGGGGGGGGGGGGTGACTTTTGAGTCGACTCAAAAGTCAGCTGAGGCGCATGGAAGAGGTGGGGGGGGGGGGGGTGACTTTTGAGTCGACTCAAAAGTCAGCTGAGGCGCATGGAAGAGGTGGGGGGGGGGGGGGGGTGACTTTTGAGTCGACTCAAAAGTCAGCTGAGGCGCATGGAAGAGGTGGGGGGGGGGGGGGTGTGGGCTCCCTTCACGTGTTTTGAGACGTCTCAAAAGGCTCCCTTCACGTGTGTGTTCCAATCCTGTCCGTTCAACCCCCGTCCCTGGCAGGACATGGCAGAGATGTACCTGTCACGAAAATCGTCGCTCCCCCATGGGACTGCTAACAGCGCGGAGCACAGCGAGGTGGAGGAGCTGCTGGAGGATCACCTGAGGCGCATGGAGGAGGTGGTGGGGGAGGCGGAGCAGCTGCTTTCCATGTCCGATGCCACGTCGGAATACCTCAGAACTGCTCTGGACAGGTGAGTGAGGGATGGCATATGAGTGAGTGGCGATAGGAGAGTGAGAGTGGCATGGGGGGGAAGGTAGAGGAAGAGGTGGAGCAGCTGCTGTCCATGTCCGATGCCACTTCGGAATACCTCAGAACCGCGCTGGACAGGTGAGTGTATGTTGGTAGTTGAGTGGATGGCGATAGGTGAGCGGTGGTAGTAGGGAAGTGATAATGGCGTGGGTGGTGCAGATAGGGGAACAGGCAGAGCAGCTGCTGTCCATGTCCGATGCCACTTCGGAGTACCTCAGAACTGCTCTGGACAGGTGGGTGATTAAATGGCAGGTGAGTGATTAATGGCAGGTGAGTGATAAGTGGCAGGTGAGTGATTAATGGCAGGTGAGTGATTAGTGGCAGGTGAGTGATTAATGGCAGGTGAGTGATTAATGGCAGGTGAGTGATTAGTGGCAGGTGAGCGAGTGGAACAGCTGCTGCCCATCTGCTTTTCTTCTCTTTTTCCTTCTTTTGTTTCTTTCTGGTATGTAGTCAGTGTGCTGAGGCGCGCGACTTCGTTTGTTGTTTTCTTAAGTCACCTTCTTGTTTTTGTACTTCGTGCAGTGCGCGCAATCCGCTGATCGAGCTCGACGTGCTTGTCAACATGGCGACATGCTCAGTGGCTGTGGGGGGCTCTATTGCCGTCTTATGTGTGTAATGTGTGTGTGCCTTCCTTTTCTCGCTCCATGCAGTGCGCGCAATCAGCTGATTGAGCTCGACGTGCTTGTCAACATGGCTACATGCTCGCTCGCCGTGGGTGGCTCCATTGCTGCTGTCTTCGGTAAGCATCTGGTTATTGATAGGTGTGTGATGTGTTGTGTGCCTTGGCTGTTGTCTGTTGAGTCGAACCAAAAGTCACCCCTTAGGGGGGCTCCATTGCTGCTGTCTTCTGTAAGCCTTTGTTGCTTGATAGGTGTGTGACTTGTGCCTTAGCTACTGTCATTTGCCATGCGTGAAGTGTTCATGCTGTGTGAGTGTGCTAGTGTAGGATGAGGTAAGTTTCAATCTTCGTGTCTATACATTCCACAGCCGGGAGTTTCGTTGTTGCCATTGTTGCACTTCCAGGCTGGCATTGACGGTAGGAATTCATCAGGGGTGTTTTTCGTTGCTCTTGCCACCCTTCGATCCGTCCCAGGCATGAATCTGGTATCATCCTTCGAAGATACCTCATTAGCGTTCCCCATCGCAGCAGGCAGTGTCGTGTCACTGTCTGCAGTTGTATTTTTGGCTCTACGCACATACGCCAGACGGCGAGGTATTATGTAATTAGCTGTTTATATGTTTTACATTGCCCTTTGTAGTGCATGTTATGAATGAACTTGCAGAGTGCGCAGAATATCGAATAACGAGAATGAACTGATTACCGAATGACGATACAATGAGAAAGGCACGACTAAATAGGGCAAGTCCTAGCTAGGCGGAGAGGTTGGGCGAGGATGGCTCGGTGATGATTGCGATTGGAGCGGAGGCGACTCGGGAGTGGTTCGGTGCGACGAAATAGGAAGGACATGTTCGTCGCGTGACCCTCGGGATGTCCTCGCTAACGAGTGCCTCAGTAAGGATTCTGTAAATCCTTACAGTGCAAGGAAGCGCTTCAAGTGTAGTCTACCTTGCGTACAAGCTTGGCTTGGGGAGTTCACCCACACCACACCTTGTCGCCTCGGACCCAGACCCCTCTAGTGTCCACGTGAAGCGACAACGCCCCTTCGACCAGTCGTTGGGCCATTCTCGCAGACTTGGGGAGGCAGGTCTGGGCCTTGCTAGCGTCACGGGTGTCGGTGTGTGGTGTGGTGGTGGTGTCTGTTCTGTGTCCTGGTTTGGAACACGGCCTGTGGGCCGCTGCTGACGCAAGGAGGTAATCGAAAGAACTGAGGACGTGCGTACAAGTAGAAGTGATTGGAACATTGTTCTAAATGGAGAATCTGCTTTAAAGGGCAACACCCGAATTGCTCAAGGGTGTCAGCGCGGGAAAATTTGGTTCGGAAAGGCAGGCACTTGGAGGCTCGGAAAAGTTCCGAAAGCCTTGTGCCCTGCACCCAGTAGGGGCGCGACACAAACTGGGGCCAGTTTGTGAGGGCTTTTCTGTAATTCAAGGGCTGGGCTTTAACATTCTTGTCTTGAAATGTGGTGCAGTATATATAGACAAGCAGTCGATGTTTCACAAAAGTTCAAACCAAAGACGCCCTCGAAATTCAGAAAATTCCCGAGGCGTGGTGTGGACAGCAGCCGAGCCAGCAGCGCATGGAGTGTGGACGAAAAGCCTCCAATCCCAGCCACAACCCCTCGACATTATCGAGGAATTTGCCAGGCGAGCGACGAAGAAAAAGCGTGGACAGCAGCAAGACGAATTGGTCGCTTCGGTTAGCTTCGGTTTGGGGAATAGACAAATAGGTGTAGCTGGTCTACGCCAGTTTAGTCTGATCCATTCGGCAAGCTCGAGGTAATTCATGAATGATCAGAATCCGACGTAAGCCCACTTCTGCACACAGTCACGCATTTCAGCAACCACAAATCACCAGCAACCACATATGCAATTCTGCTTCATAGTTTCAGGAAGCAGAGCCCTTAGTTCCTTCACCGTAGGCTCCTACGTCTAATCCGTTTTAGGCGGGATTACTCGTAGGCGATAGCTGTCTTCCCATTTTATAATTCCGAGGCTTTTCCTGTCATTGAGAAGCGTTCTGTGCGTTCGCCGAGCATCACGTCTCGCTCTCTCGACCAGTCGCTTCCTTGCAATCGCTCTTTTCTTCGTGCAGTCTAGAAATGTCTCTCCCTACGTCTCACGCGATTTCGTCGTCCAGGCTTCACAGCTTGCCATCCCTCCAGCCATTATGCGCATCTTCTAAGTCCTCCTCTCCCGCCTGCTTTCAAAAAAGCACCGCTATCGCGCCATCACGCATCGGATGCCCCCAGAAGCCTTCGTCAGCAGCGGGGAAATGCAGCAGCGTAAGCAGGCAGCGGCGACGGGTGGGTGGGAGAGGTGTGGTTGCAGCCAGTCCTCCCACGGAGGAGGTTGAGGTGCGGACTGAGCCGTTGACCAAGGAAGACCTGGTCAACTATCTGCGATCCGGCTGCAAGCCCAAGGACAAGTGGAGGTAAACGGCTAAGTTGGGAGCGAACCAATGCACGGCTATTTGATTTTTCCGACGTTTTTCAGGGTTCTAGGTTTTCTAGGTTTCCCATTTTTCACTACGGAAGATTAGTCAATGGGAAATTGGTATGTTTTTTTACCCTCGCGAAATTGAACGGTAAGCACATTATTTCCGCTGCGCTCTCACTATTTCGCTCACCTCGTTTCGTCTCGTGCCAGGATCGGCACGGAGCACGAGAAGTTCGGGTTCGATCAGAAGACGCTCCAGCCAATGACGTACGAGCAGATCGCGACGCTGTTGGAGCACATTGCGGATCGGTTCTCGTGGGACAAGATCATGGAGGGCGACAGGATCATTGGCCTGCGATCGGTACGTATCTTTGAATGTTGACTTAAGGGTTCCTAAAACAGCTACTCGTGGGACAAGATCACGGAAGGCGACAGGATAATCGGCTTGCGATCGGTACGTGTTGTAGTGCGCGGTAGTTTCGTCAAATGCTGACTGAAAAGACTGACAGATACTAACGACGGAATCATGGGGAGCGTCAGGATCATCGGCCTGCGATCGGTACGCGTTGCACTACACTGTAGTGCCGTTAAATGCTGAATTAGAAGGCTCCTTAACTATTTACTTGTGGGGACAAGATCATGGAGGGAAACAGGATCGTTGGAGGGCGACAGGATCGTTGGAGGGGGACAGGATCGTTGGAGGGCGACAGGATCGTTGGAGGGCGACAGGATCGTTGGAGGGCGACAGGATCGTTGGAGGGCGACAGGATCGTTGGAGGGCGACAGGATCGTTGGAGGGTGACAGGATCGTAGAGCAGTGAGTTTCGTCAGATGCTGACGAAGGAGGTTCTTAGAATTTATTTGTGTACAAGTTTCATGGACGGCGAGGATTGGCGGCTTGCGAACGGTGCGTGGTGGCAGGCCAATGCTAGTCTCCAATCTAAACAAATGAACCTATTCCACGAACAGTTATGGAACGTGTGAACATCGACAATCGCACGCGCTCGGAGCGTGTGCGATAGATAGCTACACACACTGAATATGGTCAGTGTTCGAGATGGATGATTCGATTTGCTGCATTCCTGCGGATCAGCGGATGAGGGGATTATATAATATCCATTATTGGAATGCGCAACCATGCACATTCACGCACGCCCGTGCACACTCGTGAACACCCACACGTTCCCTAAACTCCGTTACCCTTGGCAGAACGGGCAGAGCGTGACGCTGGAGCCCGGAGGTCAGTTCGAGCTGAGTGGCGCACCCCTGGAGACAGTGCACCAGACGTGCGCTGAGGTCAACGGTCACCTCTATCAGGTAAACCATTTACTGCCCTTTATTGCAGCCTAGACGTGCGCTGAGGTAACGATTATCCTTTCCAGTTACCCACGGGCTTTACTGCAGTGCCTAGGGCGGGTATAGCCAGGATACAATCACTCTACCAAGAACTTTTAGTTAAGTGGTGGCACAGCCTTGACGACACAGCAGAGACGTGCGCTGAAGTCAACGGGCACCTATGCCTGCCACACGCACCCGTGCAATCAACTTTACAAGGCGCAAGGCCACATCCAATTACTGGCTGAGAGCATTGTGATAATTTTGTCACTGACTTGGATTATTTCCGCTTGAATGTCTGGCTGATGGGTGCTGGTGGGTGGTGGTGGGTGGTGCGTGATTTTTGGCTTGGCACATGGCAGGTGAAATCCATCTGCGAGGAGGAGCACGTGGGGTTCCTGGGCCTGGGTTTTAACCCGAAGCACACCCTGGAGGAGATCCCCATCATGCCCAAGGTGAGGCGCATGTGTAATGCACAGAGCCGACTCACAACACACCTGGAGTCGTTTTGCGAGAGGTCTTAGAGCACATGGGGTTACTGAGCCTGGGCTTCAACCCAAAGCACACTCTTGAAGAGATTCCCATCATGCCCAAGGTGAGCTGCGATTCCCATCATGCCCAAGGTGAGCTGCGATTCCCATCATGCTCAAAGTGAGCTGCGATTCCCATCATGCTCAAGGTGAGCTGCGATTCCCATCATGCTCAAGGTGAGCTGCGATTCCCATCATGCTCAAGGCTTGAGATGCTGCCTTCCCTTGCCTTCGATCCCTTCCCACTACCCTTCTCGACTCTCATTCCCCTTTCCCGGCAACCCCATCCCCCACTCCCTTTCCTCCTCCGCCGTCCGCTTCCCCCAGGGTCGCTACACCAAAATGCGCAACTACATGCCCAAAGTGGGCTCACTGGGGCTGGAGATGATGTTCCCACTCCCGTATCTCCCCACCCTCCAGCTGCCCGTCTTCATTGCTCCATCCCACTCCACTCACTCCTGCCTCTCCCCCCCACTTCAGGGCCGCTACACCATAATGCGCAACTACATGCCCAAGGTGGGCTCGCTGGGGCTGGAGATGATGTTCCGCACGTGCACCGTGCAGGTCAACCTCGACTTTGACTCCGAGCAGGACATGGTCGACAAGTTCCGTGTGGGCCTCGCACTACAGCCGGTGAGTGTTTTGCTACAGCTGGTGAGATGAATCACAGGGGTTACTCCCCCAGGTAGTGCACGGTGCAGGTGAACCTCGACTTTGACTCCGAGCAGGACATGGTCGACAAGTTCCGCGTTGGCCTCGCGCTACAGCCGGTGAGTGCTTTAGCCCTCTGCTGCTTCAGGCGGTGGGTCTCAGCTTTGCTTACCCGCCACTACAGTCGCTACTTGTGTTCGTCAACCTCGACTTTGACCCCGAGTAGGACATGGTAGACAAGTTCCGAGTCGGGCTTGGGCTACAGCCGATGAGCGCTACAGCCGATGAGCGCTACAGCCGGTGAGCACAACAGCCGGTGAGCGCTACAGCCGATGAGCGCAACAGCCGGTGAGCGCAACAGCCGGTGAGCGCAACAGCCGGTGAGCGCAACAGCCGGTGAGCGCAACAGCCGGTGAGCGCTACAGCCGGCGAGCGCTACAGCCGGTGAGCGCAACTGGTGCGAGACGGGTTTTCCCCCTCATGCTACAGCCTGTGAGGTTCAGGGATGACCTCCTTGCGCTACAGCTGGCGAGAATCAGGTTTGGCCCCCCCCCCGAGGGCTGTGCTAGAATGGGTGGGGTTGGAGATGATGTTTCGCACATGGGGTCGTTTTTGAGGCGCCTCAAAAACGACCTCAAAGCTGGCGAGACTCAGGTTTGGCCCCCCGGCGAGGGCTGTGCTAGAATGGGTGGGGTTGGAGATGACTTTTGAGTCGACTCAAAAGTCCCCCCGGCAAGGGCTGTGCTAGAACGGGTGGGGTTGGAGATGATGTTTCGCACATGCACCGTGTTCCCCTTTCTCTCTCCACTCCTACTCCATTAACCAAATTCCTCAACCACCCCCCCCCCTCTCCCCCTCCCCTCCCCCCCCCCCCTCCCTCCCTCCTCCCCTTCCACCTCCCAACCATCCCTCCCTTCTCCCCACCCCCCGCCACTGTTCATTCTGGCAGGTGGCCACGGCCTTGTTTGCCAACTCGCCATTCCTGGAGGGCAAGCCGAATGTGTACCATGTTCCCCCCTTCTCAATCCGCCCCTACTCCATAAATCAAATCCCTTTCCCCCCCCTTCTCCCCTTCCCCCCTTCGCCGCAACCCCTGCCACTGTTCATTCTGGCAGGTGGCCACGGCCTTATTCGCCAACTCGCCATTCCTGGAGGGCAAGCCCAATGGGTATCTCAGCTACCGCAGGTGCGCTTGTGGGAAGCGGGGGTGGGTTGAGAGGCAATTTTTTACCGCTCAGGTTAGAGTTGGAGGTATACCTGTTGGTATCATGGACCTGCTTCAAGGGTGCACAGAAGCAGTGCCGGCAGACTGGTTAGAGCAGTCACTATGCTGCTGCCGTGCATGGGATTCGCGTCACGCTCTGCCCGTTCTGCCAAGGGCGGCTTTTGAGGCGCCTCAAAAGTGCTGGCAGACTGGTTAGTGCAGTCACTATGCTGCTGCTGTGCATGGGATTCAGCGTCACGCTCTGCCCGTTCTGCCAAGGGCGGCTCTGGCGCACCTGCGACAGCACTATGCGGCTTCAAGGGTGCACAGCAGTGCCAGCAGACTGGTTAGTGCCAGCAGACTGGTTAGTGCCAGCAGACTGGTTAGTGCCTCTGCTATGCTACTGTGCATGGACGGCACTGGTGGCAGCACAGCAGCACAGTGGCATCCGTCCAAGCCTTTTACTCTCGTTGCCGCCGCCATCACAAGCTTATCTGGCCAATCTCCTCTAAGCATTACCGCGCCTCCTTCTTTGTGCACGTGCAGTCAGTAAAAGAAAATGTCTCTGATATTTTTCCCTTCTTCTGCCCCTCGTTGCTGTGCCCTTGCTCATTTCTTGGTTTCCTTGCCTCATCGCCTCACAGTTGAGATTAATTCGCCTTAGTAATTCTCCCTTTTTCTGGTCCCTTGCCTTGTCTCGGGTTGCCTGGCAGTCGAGTGTGGGAGGACACTGACAAAGACCGCACAGGGGACCTCCCGTTTGTTTTCGAGGACGGCTTTAGGTGCGTGCCACTCTTTTTTTCCGGTCCGCTCTCTCCTGTTTTGCATGAGATTCGTTCTGATTAGTTTTCTCGTGTCTGCGGGTTAGTGCTGAAATTTTCGAGAAACCATTTGAGGGCATATTGTTGACACCGACTCAGTGTTTTTCCTGAAACACTTAATACCCCCTGTGTCGTGTGTGCTTGTGCGTGCCTGTGCGTGTGTGTGCGTGTGCATATGCATGCATGGGTGTATTTGTGTGTGTATGCATTTGTGTGTGCATGCATTTCCGTGTGCATGCATGCATGTGTGTATGCGTTTCCATGTGCATGTGTGCATGTGTGCGTGCGTGACACCAGCTTTGAACGCTATGTGGAGTATGCCCTGGATGTACCCATGTACTTTGCCTACCGTGACCAGCGCTACATCGATGCCACTGGGCTCTCCTTCCGGGTAAGCACAGGTCATGGTGGTAAGGATGGGTCACGTTTGTGGTGCATGTGCACGGCTGTGAGTGCGCATGGCACTAGGTTTGTAGCTTTGAGCGCTTTGTGGGTGGAGTGGAGTGTGCCCTGGATGTGCCCATGTACTTACTTCGCCTACCGTGACCAACACTACATCGATGCCACAGGGCTCTCCTCCTTCCGAGTAAGCATGGGTGATGGTGGTGAGCAAGGGAGTCATGTGCATGTTTGTACGTTTGAAGGGCTATGTGGGTGGAGTGGAGTATGCCCTGGATGTGCCCATGTACTTTGCATGCCACGACCAGCGCTACATCAATGCCACGACCAGCGCTACATCAATGCCACAGGGCTCTCCTTCTTCCGAGTAAGCACATTTAACATATCACACGCATGTCTAACGTCTCTTTGTCCCGCCCCTCGCCTTCTCGGCCCCCTTCACCCATGTCTTTGGGACTCAATTGGCAAACTGGCTATGACGACAGTGCTTTGAGTGAGCCTCTTCTTTCCCCGCTTCCCCCTCTTTCCTCCTTCATTCACCTTCTCCCCCTACACTCATGCTTTCAGGACTTCTTGAACGGCAAGCTCCCAGTGCTGCCAGGTGCCTACCCCACTCTCAACGACTGGGAAAACCATCTTACCACCATCTTCCCTGAGGTATGGTGTTTCCTTCAAAGGATTTGGGATATTTCCGATGCGCAATCATTGCATGTGAAACCCGCATGCGTCACATCTTCGTGTCTACAAAGATCCTATGTGATTTTTTTTTTTTTTTTGTGAAATCCTCATGTCATCACACACATGTACACACTCCCTCCGTTGCCCCACCAACAACCCCTTGCCCTGCCACCAACCCCACAACCCACTCACCCCATCAGGTGCGGCTGAAGCGGTATCTTGAGATGAGGGGCGCGGATGGCGGGTCGTGGAGGAGAATATGCGCCCTGCCCGCCTTCTGGGTGAGTGCATGCCACGTGCGAGCCACGTGCAAGCCACGTGCAAGCCACGTGCAAGCCACGTGCAAGCCTGGTGTGTTTCGAGTCTATTCAAATCAAAGTGCGCCTAGATGAGAGGCTCAGATGGTGCGTCGTGGAGGAGAATATGCCACGTTACGCCTAGATGAGAGGCTCAGATGGTGCGTCGTGGAGGAGACAATGCGCCCTGCCTGCCTTTTGGGTGAGTGCATGCCACGTTACGCCAGGTCCTCTGTTCCGCGCTGCACTGTTTGTCTCTTCTGTTGTGTGACGAAATTTCCGTCCTCATGTATGAGGTCACGGCAAGCACATGCGCTCTTCCCGCTCTCCCCGTTCCTCGCCCCCTTCCATACCCCTCACCCCTCCCTTCGCTCCCATCCTCCCCTCACCCACTCTCCCTGTGCGTCTCCTCCCAGGTGGGGCTGCTGTACGGTCGACAAGCGCTTGACGCGTGTCTGAGGGTACCCCAAGCACACGTTCCTTACCTCCCCTCCGCCCCTCCTTTCCACACTCTTTTCCCCCCTTGTCTTCTTGCCTCAGGTGGGGTTGCTGTACGACCGACAGGCGCTGGACGAGTGTAAGGCAATCATCTCTGACTGGACGGAGCTTGAGCGCTCTGCTCTGCGCACACATGTGAGTCTCCACACCACACACACCCTTGTGATGTGAGTCTCGCTGAGGCTTGAAGCTCACTTTTCCTCCGTGTGTGTGTGAGTCATGAAACCGTGTGATGCGTGCGAATACACCAACATGGCAGGTTCCTGATACTCTCTCCCTCTGCTCCCCCCTTTTCTTCCTTATCCCCTCCCCCCGCCTCTCACCTCCTCTTGTGAACTTCCTCCTCTGTTTGGTCTCCCTCTCCCCACACATTCGCAAGTCCCAACCTCTCCCTCCTTCCGCCCGTCTGCCCAATCTTCTCCTTGCATGCATAACCCTCAAAAAGCCTTTTGACTTCCCTCCTCCCCCCTCTGCCCTCTTCCATGCCATCTCTCCTTTCCCTCCCTCGTGACGTGCTTCAAGTTTCCATCGTTCTCCCGTCCTTGTCATCCCCCTCTGCTGTTCGCCCTTCCCTCCCCTCCCCCCTCCACTCCCTTAGCCTCTCCACCTGTCTGCCCTCAAGCTGCACCGCATATCAGGAGCTAAATAACCCCTTCCTCCCCACTTGGTGTTTTTTCTTTCTTTCTTTCTTTCTTTCTTTCTTTCTTTCTTTCATTTTTTCCTGCTCCTCTCATCTGTCCCATCGGCTGTATTCAGGTGCCCCGCATGGCCCTCAAGACGCCCTTCAGGGAGGGGCTGCTGCAGCACCTGGCACAGGACCTTGTCAGAATCAGCAGAGTGAGTTGGAATGAACAGGGTTCTTTGACTAACCAGCAAAACTCCAACCAAGGCTTCCATTGCGCATTGCGTATCCAAGGCTAAAATGTACGCCCTGGCTGGAGTGGCTGTGGCCTGTGTCTGCTCTGCGTGTTTATCTGGATGTGTCTGTGTTTCCTTTTTCAGGACGGATTGCAAAGACGAGGGTACAGGGAAGGCAATTTCCTCAAGGAGCTGGAGAACATCGCTGCTACAGGTAATGTCCCTTTTTTGGGGTATTATTTGGGTGTACAGGATGTGGTTGCCCTTATCCTGTTCATGCTCGATGACGTCAACCATCATGCTCCGTTCGTGTATGTCATTTGTTCGGTCGTGACTCATGTCGTCCGATGTGACTAACACCCTTGTTTCAGGGCAACTCCAAACTGTTAATTCCCGCTCACTGTGCCAGGCCATACCGTCCCATGGAATTTGCCACTACATGCAGTTTTGAAACATGTGTCCCGCCAAATGCCACTTTCCGCATTGCCACTTTCAATATGTTTTTTCTTGTTCATCACATCTCTCCCGGCAGGTGTGACTCCTGCAGAGCGCATGTTGGAGGCATACCATGGCAGGTGGGGGGAGAGCGTGGACCCTATCTACAAGGAGCTCATTTACTAGTTATAGATAGCTGTTCGATTCGTCTCATACTCCCAAGGGGCAAGGAGACCCTAGTGGTCTATTGTCGGAGAGAGTTAGCCAGTAGGAAAAATAATTGAAAAATATGGTGGATATTGTGAGCAGTGCGATTCTGTTACCTAAGAATAACTCACATAAAGGGGAGTTTGGCTGATTAGGATGTTGCACGGCTTGCGCTGCATATCTCTAATGAGGATGTCTGCAGGCTATTGGTATAGTACAGCATTTCTGTAATGAGAGTAGGAGGGACACTGTAATGAATATGCAGTTCATTACTGTAGAGGCTGCTCCTAGCGAGAACAGCCCGAGCACTTAGCGTCAGGATGGCTCGTCCTACACTTTCGCACCGAGCCAATTCCGAGTCGCCCCGCACCAATCGCGACATTTCCGAGCCACGCACATCTGGAGGTTCTCGCCTAGCTAGTTTTCGCCCTATATATTCTCGCTTTCTTCATTGTTTCGTCATTCTGTAATCACGTCTTCTTTATAAAGTCTTCCGCGCACTCTGTCTAGTAAAACTCATAACACTTGGTATCAGAGCTACTTTCCTAGCTTCCCCGTTTTTTAGAGTGTATTACTCCTCCAGGGGGGGGGACAGGGAAGGATGCCGTGGTGACAGGAGCAGCGCAGTAGCCGGCCAGGAGAACGGATAGTTGCTCCTAGCGGCCATGTTTTTACGGGCGCTCCTGCTGCACCGACGGATCCTTGCCCTCGACGGTCGAGATGGACCGTGGCCTCCCTCCTCCCGGGTGGCGGACAGCTTTTGCTGTCGTCGCATTTAATGCGTGAGTTAACTGTGTACGTTTCGGCGTTTTCGGAATTAATTTGTGTGGCAGCTGACGTCGACAGGATCTCCGTCAGTACACTTCCGAAGATGTCGGAAGCAAGGCGTCGTGCGAGTTGCGTCGGCTCGTGGTCGACAACTGCGCGCGACAATTTCGGAGCTAGCCGCGTGGGGCAAGTGGCGATGGGCGTCTTCGTCACGTTGCGCACGAGCTAGTGGAAGTCTTCGGCAAGTGGCGCGTCGTCACTGTGCGCGAAGATTTTGGGTAGCAGCACGTGGAAAACGACTGCTGGTCGAGCAGCCAGGCGCAATGTGTGATTTGCGTCGGAAAAACCGACGGCGAGGAGAGGCGGCGTGGCGACTGCCCGAAGAAAGCGGGGGTCTACCGTCGTCCCGCCCGGGTGCAGCAGGTGTTGCTGCAGGAGGGTGCGTCGTGGGCGTTTTTCGGCAGAGCGGCACAGTGTGGGACGGAAGTTGTTCTTCAAACCACCGAAAAGTTCGGAAAAGGCCGCCTATGACCAGACTGTTCTGGCTTGGGTGACTACTGTTTCTGGCACAATGTTTATCGGCGAAAGTTTCGGAGCAACAGTGGCAGCCGATTCTGCACTTCACGCGGCACAGTTCCCTTCGGCCAGAGGTACCTGTGTTTGCAGACAGCCCAGTACACCACGGAACAACGATTCGGCGCAGCGTTTAGACCCGCGAATTTTCGGGGGCTCTACCGGCTACAATAAACGGAGTTGCGACTAATACGGGTCCGGCGAGAGAAACGGGTTCCGACTTCAGGAGGCGAGAAAAACGACCTACAGCGACGACTTTTGCTGAGGCCGAGTCTCACGGCTAAGCGGCGGTAGCAGAAGGAGCTCCCTACCGGCCAAGTCTACCGAGGTTTCACATACCTCACACCAGAAAAGCCTTGAAGGCAATTCGTAAGTCCTGTTGGCTTCTGGATAAAAAGGTGGGGCCCTGTGTTTTAGCCCTGTGCTGGTTAGAAAGGCGTGGGTGGCGCTGGTTCGACGGCAGGGCGTTCAAGAAAATCTTCAAGCGACACTGTTTTCGGCCCCGACAAAACCAGACCATCGGCAACGTTTTCTCTTGCCGAAAAAGTCGGGACTGAAAAAATTGTGGCAGCTGGCGGTGTTTCTCCCGATTCAACGGTCTACCCAAGGGCGGTGTAGCGGCGAAGATGGAGTTCCCGAAGCTGTGGAGTTTTAAGTGCGATAGGCACGGTGGGCAGCGAAGCGGCCGGACGGGCGTTTGATACGATAAACTCACCCCGGCTACGATTGTGTTCGCGCCTTCATCGAACGCTAGAAAAATCGCGGGTCAACACGAAGAAGGTCTCATCCGACAAAAGCGGACGCTGGGTGAACGGCGGCATGCAAAATTGTCGGGGGGCGAAAGCGAAAAAAAAAAAAAAAAAAAAAAAAGGAGGGAAAGTTGTGGGTGCCGTTTCAAGCTACTTGAGTGATAGGCGGAGCCCGTACACCACTCCACCGCGAATTTCGGAGTTTATTCCGTAGACCCCCGAAAGGGTTTGATATCGTTACATGGAGGCGCGGCGAGGGGTGTATTGCCAAGGATGCCTGGGATTTGCTAAGTATTCCCGACAGGTGCGAAGATGGGTGAACGTCGGAGCACCAGGGTTAACAACGGAAATGTCGGGGCTACAAGGCAGAAAATACTTCGGGGCTTAATCCCTCAACCATGATTTTCGGGTGCAACTTCGACGGTGGGAGACGGGTGAAGGTCTGCTCGCCAGCTGTTTAAGCGTTCCTCGGTGTACTTCGAAGCAGTCTGGGGGAGTTCTGCTGCGAGATCCGCGGCGTTGATGCGCGCTAGGGTCCGTGAAAATCGGTCTCGGGAGACCCATAAGTACTGGGTTCCACGCCAAAAAAAGCACCTCCTGTTGGTGGGTCGCTTCGGTGGTTAACCGCACGAAAAAAATGGTGACCGGGTGGGCGCGATAGAAACACCGGTTCTTTCGGGGGACAACCTGCAGGCGACCAAGACTTTACATGGGGTGGAAATTTCCGACATCTACGGGCGCAACGAGCAGTTCCGAAAAGAGTTTTTAACGGAGTTAGCGGGGTCGCTGACAGTATCCGTGCCAACGGCTGACTGCAGCGTCGCTTGATTAAAGGCGTGAAGGCACTCATCGTCAAATGCGTAGCCGTACAAATCGGAAGCTGCTCGGGGGTACCAGCCGCAACACGAGGGAAAATTTTGCAACAGGTGGAGGGAGAAGGCGACAGCTGTTTTCGCCCCTGCCCGGAGGTTTTCGGCGAGTCACAACAACACCGACAATGCAGCTGACGTCATCGACAGTTCGAGTTCAACTTTGAAAACATAGTTGCGAGGTCAGGGGGGAGAGCAGCAGCTATTTTTCGCCTCTGCCCGGTACTCCTCGGCGAATATCGACAAAAGCCTCGGCGAGTCTGGACAAGACTGCCAGGGGCGCTAACAGCTGGAGAAGCTACAGAGAGGATTTTCGACACTGCAACAAGACAAACGGCAGCAATTTCGGGACTGCAGCAGCTGACAACTGAAGATACTGCGGCAGCAGGGTGATTCGGTGCTGCCACGCGGAGATATTTGGGTGGCGGTCTTTTCCAAGAGGGGGGAGAAAGTGCTCTCGCACTGTACTTGTCAGTTTTTTCTGACTTTTTGTCTGACAGATTCAGCACGACGGACGCTCGCGATCACATCAACGACATCGACGGGTCCTGCTTCATCGACTTCTAACAACGCGTCAGCATATCCGCCCACGACGTGTTCATCTTGACCGTCCGACAGAGATCCACCACATCGACGGTTCGTATTCATCAACGGCTTTTCAACTCGACATTCGAATTCAACCGCCCGATCGTTATCGGCAGTATCAACGGCTAACATTCCAACTCTTTGAATTTCGCCTGGTCAACGCGTTCAGCCACGCGTCAACTTCACAGTCAACGACGTCTACACCGTCAGATCCGTTTCAACCGAGGTCTGCAGTTTTCACGCTACTGCAAGACTCGGCTCCGTATAAGGGGGCCTTATCTAGAAGGTGGGAGAGTGTAATGAATATGCAATTCATTACTGTAGAGGCTGCTCCTAGCGAGAACAGCCCGAGCACTTCACATCAGGATGGCTCGTCCTACACTTTCGCACCGAGCCAATTCCGAGTCGCCCCGCACCAATCGCGACATTTCCGAGCCACGCACATCTAGAGGTTCTCGCCTAGCTAGTTTTCGCCCTATATATTCTCGCTTTCTTCATTGTTTCGTCATTCTGTAATCACGTCTTCTTTATAAAGTCTTCCGCGCACTCTGTCTAGTAAAACTCATAACAGACACGTGCTTTTGGTATACGCTGCATCATAGTGTCCAAGACACCGCTATAGTGAGGCATAAGCTTGCCAGGCGGCATCCCGGCACCCCAAATCTCGGGGGTCGATGTGATTGGCTTTCGCACCTAGCCCTGAATTTTGTGGTCGTTTCGTTTCGGCGGAATTCCCAAGGCCAGACGGACGAGCCGGACCGACCACTTCAGCACCGGCAACCGAGCAAGGCACAGGCAGTTTACCAAACAGCAGCACTGCACCACCCTTCACCCTACTGGAACACCTGAAACCTTGACCCTACAAGCCCTCCATGACTCCATTGCACTGATTCCTGATTCCTGAAATGCATTCGTGCTTTCATTGGTTTTGCCGTTTCAGGACGCGTTGAAAGTGCAAATATCGCGGGATCGCGAGCATAAATCGAGCCCCACAATCGAGTGGGCAGATCGATTGGCGAAACATGAAGACCGATACGCTGTAACGATCGCACCTGAGCTTTGTGGTGGATGCTCTGCATGAGATTCGCACCCAAAACATATACGTCGTCCATACCCACCTGCGACACTTGCAGCCAACAGGGCAACCACCCTGGCGATGTGATGTTTACAGATTTCGCCAAATGTGGACAATTTGGGCGACAGCGATTCCTGGCTCTGCGAAATTTCAGAAAGTCGCAGGCATCAGAATCAATCGCGCCAGGTAGCTCGGTTTGAGAGCATCAATGACGCTTTGATGCCTCTCACTGATCTCCCGCGATCAGTGATCAGTAGCATTCACACACTGTGCACAAATTTTGGCAAAAAACCATGCTGTATCAAGGTTACAGCACAGTGAATAGGGTTACAGATCCGCACATCGATCGCCACCTACGATCGATCGTCTACTTTCAACGCGTCCTCAGAAGTGAGGTCTCTGTTGAGCAGTAAGCTCTTGGACCCAGCATTAGCAGCTCATGTGAAGCCAGAAAATAAAAACGATAACTGGTCCCATTGCGTCGCTGTCCGTCTCGCTGTTTCTTCCTCTGGTTCTCTAGTTTTATCGAATTCCATCATTCTCTTTGACCTATATTTATAAGCGTAATGCCGCGACAGCACCTCAGACCTCCTCAGGCATTCTCTTTACCTCGAAATTTCCGCTTGGTCAAATAGACGTAACTTCAGCGCTCCTTCACTCCCGCATTGTCAAAATCCTCGGCGTCCCGCGAGCAAGTTCAACCCAGCGTGCAGCTTCCAGTTCGGCGTCCCTCTGCTTGCAATTTACAGCTCACAGTTCGGATTACAGCTAGCATAGGCCTTCTATCACCTACCCAGTCGACTTTTTTTTCCACGTCTTTGAAGCGAGTCCGCAATGTCGTGGATTCGGTCGAATCTGGCCAAGGTGGGGACATTTGCGGGGTCCGTGGTGCAGAAGGCCGGAGATGCCGTGGAGCGAGGCGCCAAGATGGTGTACGAGCAGGCGGAGAGCGCTGTGGTGAGTCTTACTGCACGGTTTGTTTGTTTGTTTAGCCCTGCTTATGTGCTGGCCGCTTGGTTGTTTGTTATTACTATTATTTTCTGCCAAAGATGGAGATTTTGCTAGGTTGGGGGTGCAGAATCCCGGGGGTACTTTGGAGCGAGGCGCCAGAATGAAGTACGAGAAGGCAGCGGAGAATGCAAGGAGGCTTTTTCTACTTGCACTTCTCCCCCATTCGTCCCGTACCCTCAGGTGGGTCGGCCACACAACAGCTTCCGCCATGCGGTGCGGCGGATAGAGGAGGTGGCGACATTCGCACGCGGCAGCGAGCGCAAGGAGGCTCTGGCGCGCTGGCTTGCTGCGCTCTCAGACATCCAGCAGGAGAACGACCGCCTTCAGGCGCATTTCCAGAGGCGGAAGAAGCGGCAGGAGAAGGGGGAGAAGGGGGAGCGGAAGACGCAGGAAGAGAACAAGCAGGAGGAGGTGACAGTGGAGTCTGCTGCTAGTGCTGATGGTTCCGCTGCTACCGGGGCTGCTGGGGCTGCAGCTGAGGCTGACGCCAGTGATGCTGGTGCTGCTGGTGCTGCTGTGAGCTCAGATCGAACGGATGGATTAGGAGCGGAGGGGGTAGTGGCTGACAGAGCTGGTGACGAAGGCAAGGATGGTGCTAGTGTTACAGAGGGTAACCAGGCCAAAGATGGGGAAGGAGAAGGTGTGGGGGCACGATTGTCACAGGTGCAGACAGATGGAGCTGAGGGGAAGACGGAGTCAGTAGCAGCAGAAGCAGACTCAGAATCAAAGGATGGGGTTGTTGGAGATGGAGAGAAAACAGGAGCAGAAGCAGGTAGCAAGTCAGCAGAAGCGGGTGATATTGCAGCAGCAGGAGAAGAAGCGGAGGAGGTGGCATCAGTAGGGGATGGATCGTCGCAAGATGAGGCAGCTCCGTCGCTGTCAAAGTCAGCATCAACTGGACGGGCTTCCATGGTGAGTGAAGCAACGGTTTGAGTGCAGTGCAGCGCCGTGCGGTGCAGTGCAGTGTGGTGTGGTGCAGTGGAGCTCATAGTAGCATCGACTGGACGGGCGGCCATGGTGAGTGAAGCAACGCCCTGGGCGCAGTGCAGTGCAGTGCGGTGCGGTCTTGAGGTGTAGACATTCCTCAGAGTTCTTCCTGGATCGGGAATTTCTGAACTTCAATAAAAGAACGTTACTTCTTCTCCCTTTACCCCCCTTTCTTCTTCTCCCCCCTCCCTCTCTCCCCCCCCCCCCCCCCCCCCCCCTCCTCCCTGACGCGTGCAGCGAAGCCCTCAACTTCAGAGATGTATTTTGCGATCCAGCGTGCTGGAGCTCATAGTACATCTCTCCCACCCACCCATTATCCACCCCTTTTCTCTCCCGCACTCTCCTCTCAGGTACTCTTTTACGACCCAGACGCGGGCAACGAGGCCCTCAACTTCAGGGACGTGTTTCTGCGCTCCAGTGCTCTCGAGCTCATAGCACCCCCAATCCTTCCTCTCCCTCAGGTTCTTTTCTATGATCCAGACGCGGGCAACGAGGCCCTCAACTTCCGGGACGTGTTTCTGCGCTCCAGCGCGCTGGAGCTCATAGTGGCATCGATGGTGGTGGCGCCGGGGGATGAGGACGAGATGGCGCTGCTGAGAGGGCTGTTTGAGTGAGTACCTGGGAAGAAAGGAGGGAGGGGGGTTGGGGCAACGTTGCTGTGTGAAGGGCGTGGGCTGTCTCAGGTCAGGTCAGCAGCGGTCTGAGACGTCTTTCTGCGATCCAGCGCGCTGGAGCTCATAGTGGCGTCGATGGTGGTGGCGCCGGGGGATGAGGACGAGATGGTGCTGCTGAGAGGGCTCTTCGGGTGAGTACTTGGGGAGGAAAGATGGGTTGGGGGGAAAGAAAGGAGGGAGAGGGGGTGATTCTAAGGGATGCTTTTGGAAGGGTTTGGGCTGCCTTGTCGATCAGAGACGTGTTTCTTCGCTCCAGTGTTCTGGAGCTCGTAATGTTGTCAACAATGAGCCAGACGACAATGAGCAGATGGCGCTTCAGATTGGTCAGTTCATTTGAGAAAAGGGGCGGAAATTTGGGCCCTTTTGTACCCCCCTGCACTCCTCTGCACTCCTTTGCACACCCTCTATCTGACCTTGCCCTCAACCCAGTGAAACGGGCTGGTTGCAGCTCGTGCTATTTTCTTCTGCCAATCCCATCTCCCCATATCATCTTCATTTCCTTTTTCTACCCCTGTGCACCTTTCTGTACCCTTCTGCGCCCCTCCTACCCAGCCTCTGCCTGAACCTCTCCACAACCCAGTGCAATGATCTGCTCGCTGCCCTCCAGTCACTGGGCTCCTCCCTTTCTGCTTACTCCGAACTCAAGGTGCGATGAGTTGCTCAACGAAACCTTGAGGGGTGGGAAGGTATGAGCGAGGGTCAGGGTGGGAAAGGGTGGGGAAGGGTGGAGAAGGGTGGGGAAGGGTGGAGAAGGGTGGGGAAGGGTGGGGAAGGGCGTGCAGGGAAAACAAAATAAAGAATGAAAACCTCTCTACCTGTTTCTGCTTTCTGCATCACTCCCTCATTCTTCCCATCAGCTTCTGTTGCCCTCTTTCATCCCTTCCTCCTCCTTTCCCTTCCCCTTTCACCCCTCCCTCGCTCTTTCCTTACTGCCTCCACTCCCTCCTCCTCCCCACTCCCTCCCCTCCCCCCTCGTTCTCCCCTCTCTCCACTCCCTTGCGCGTCCTCCCCACACTCTCCACCCCTTCGCTTGTCCTCCCAGTCCCACCACCATCGACTGTCTGTACAGTGATGTGACGTGACGATTCGGCAGCAGTTGGTATGAAGCCATTTCAAAACTCTTCCTCCCTTCGTCCTTACCTGCCGTCCCCTGCCCATTGCCACTCCCACTGTCAGTTGCCAAGTGATGACTTGGCCACGATGGTGGCAGAAGCAATCACAGGGCTGAAGGTCAACCCCGAGATTGAAAGGTGTGCAATGCGGTGTGAGGTAGGGCCAATGTGGTGTCGGCTTTAGGAGGGTTGGTGGCCACAAGTAAGACACAGGACTCGTAGCCTACTGACTTAGAGCCATGCTGCTTTCAGTAGACTCTTGAGGCGCCTCAAGAACCGTGCTGCTTTCAGCAGCTTGATATGTAGCTGCATTAGTCAGCCACATAATTTGCCGCCTTTGGGCCTGCAGCACACAGCCACTCCAGTGCTTTTCAATCAACCTGCACTCTTTCTAATCTGTTCCCATTCACCTCCCCATCAGCCACTGCAGCAGCTTATTACTGAGGCTGCCTCTGTTGCTGCCTCCCCACACTGCCAACGCCCCCTCCCTCATTTCCACCCCCAACCTACCTCCTTCAGGGTCGACCTGGAGTCGTGTCGCCTGCAGCAGCTTATTGCTGAGGCTGCCTGCTGCGCAGCCACTCTGTTGCCTCTCATTGAATCTGCTACTTCCCTCACTCACCTTCAATACACCCGCACCTCACCTCCCCCATCTACCTCCTTCAGGGTCGACCTGGAGTCGTGTCGCCTGCAGCAGCTCATAGCTGAGGCTGCCCCGGTAGCACAGCCACTCTGTTGCCTCTCATTGAATCTGCTACTTCCCTCACTCACCTTCAATATACCCGCACCTCTCCCATTCACCTCCTTCAGGGTCGACCTGGAGTCGTGTCGCCTGCAGCAGCTTATTGCTGAGGCTGCCTCTGTAGCCGCCTCTGTGCCTGCAGCACACCAGCGTTCTGCCTCCTTCGTTGCTGCCTTCGACCTTGACGATCTTGCTACCGACGCTACTTCTGCCGGTGCTGTTGCGTCTGATGCTGCTGATGCTGCTGATGCTACCAGTGGTGCAGTTTCTACCGGCAGTCGTGGTGGTGATGATGATGGTGGTGGGGGTGGGGGTGCTGATGGTGGTGACACTGCTAGCAGTGGTCAAGCCTCGACTGAAACTGCTGCTGCCGGCAGCGCTGCCTCCTCTTCCGGGCCTGCTGCACCTGCCGAAGCTGATGGAGCCGCCGCCGCACCTGCCGCCACCGCCGAACCTACCGATATTCAATCAGAACCAGCAGCAAAAGCAGCAGCCAGCCCACCACCGCACACAATATCTAGCCCACCACCACACACGCGCGACGCCGTAACGCACGTGAACGAGGTGGTAACTGCACGGTCGCGCGACGCGCTTCGCCTAGGCCTGCGCCTGCTGGCCTTAGAAAAGAAGAAAGAAGCCCTGCTGCAGCTGGGGGACACGCCGGGGGACAGGGCGCTGAAGGTGGAGCGGGTGAGCTGTCTGGCCGCGGAGCTGAGTGAGAGCATGGAGGGGCTCAGGCGGAAGGCTGAGGAGTGCCGCCAGCAGCGCCAGGAGGCTCTGGCGTACCGCAGCAGCAAGGCCCAGGAGTCCCGCGAGGCCGAGAAGGTGAGTGGACCTGTTCTTGAACACCCACACCAACACCAGGTACTCCCTCCTCCCCCCCACTTCTGCCACGAATGGTGCCCCTGGCATAGGCCCAGCAGCAGGTGCAGGCACGCAAGGAGGAGCTGGAAGTGGCGCTGAGCCGGGTGCAGGCGGCTCTGCTTCCTTCCCTGTTTTTTCTCATTGCCCTGCTTACTCCCCCATGCTCCTACCACACACACCAACCTCCAGGGACTCTCTCGGAGGCACAGCAGGTGCAGAAGCGAAAGGAGGAGCTGATGCGGGTGCAGGTGGCTCTATTTCCTCTTCTGTTCCTATCTTCCTGCTTATCCGTGTGTGATGAGTCGATTTTTGAGTCGACTAAAAAATCGACTCATCACATGCAGGTGGTTCTATTTCCTTTTCTGTTCCTATCATCCTGCTTATCGTCTCCCCCACTCATCCACACACCCACACTCACCAACACCATGTACTCCTGGCAGAGGCTCAGCAGGTGCAGAAGCACAAGGAGGAGTTGGGACGGGTGCATGCGGCTCTGCTTCTTCCCCCATTCTCATTGTCCTGCTTACTCCCTCCCCCCACCCGCCCCCAACCCCCCACCACACACACCCCAGGTCCTCCTGGCAGAGGCTCAGCAGGTGCAGAAGCGAAAGGAGGAGCCGAGGCGGGTGCAAGCGGCACTGCTTCCTTCCCTGTTCTCATTGTCCTGCTTTCTCCCTGATACCCCATACACACTCACACCCCAGGTCCTCCTAGCTGAAGCCCAGCAGGTGCAGAAGCGAAAGGAGGAGCTGGAGGAGGAGCTGAGGCGGGTGCAGGCTGCGCTGGACGGCGTGAATCGGCGGCTAGTGAAGCTGGAAGAGGAGAAGGAGCTTTTTTCGCAGGCCAGCACTGGGATCGAGACTCATCTATCTTCAGAGGTGAGCACAGCTGCTTTAAAGCCCCAGTATGCAAGTTGTAGGCTATTGGCGACCCCAGCATGGTTCAGGCATGTCGACGGCTAGTGAAGCTTGGAGGAGGAGAAGGAGCTCTTTTCGCAGGCCAGCAGGGGGATCGAGACTCATCTATCTTCAGAAGTGTGAACAAGTTTTTCATATTAAAGCCCCAGTCAGGAGAGGTAGGGTAGGCTCTAAGTGCCTAAAGAAGAAGCTGACTAGAATGCATGAATTGGCGGCTAGTGAGGAGACAAGTGACTGAGGGTGACTTTGAGTCGACTCAAAAGCCACCTCCTTATTCCCAGATGTTAACGCTCTCTGCACTCCCATCCCCAACAGGAGGAATCTCTCACGCACTCCCTCTCTGAACACGAGGAGGACGCCAAGGCTCTGGCAGGGTGGAAGCAGTTTCTGCAGCAGTCATGCATATCTCTCGTTCCACACACCCCTATCTAAACAACAGGAGGAATCGCTCACGCACTCCCTCTCTGAACACGAGGAGGACGCCAAGGCTCTGGCAGGGTGGAAGGAATTCCTGCAGCAGTCGTGGCAGCTGCAGCAGGCGAGCATGGAGGGCAAGGAGAGGCGGATGAGGGAGGAGAAGAGTGACCGCAAGAGCCGGTTCTGGGAGATGGCTCAGGGGCACGTGCGGCTGTGTCAGGTGCGTCCATTGCTAGACTCTCTCGTTTACTCTAACTGAGCAAAGAGCGTTGCAGTAGAGACTGGGGCTAGCAGGCGCGCATGGAGGGCAAGGAGTGGCAGATGCGAGAGGAGAAGAGTGACCGCAAGAGCCGGTTCTGGGAGATGGCTCAGGGGCACGTGCGGCTGTGTCAGGTGCGTCCATTGCTAGACTCTCGTTTACTCTTACTGAGCGAAGAGCGTTGCAGTAGAGACTGGGGCTAGCAGGCGAGCATGGAGGGCAAGGAGTGGCAGATGCGAGAGGAGAAGAGTGACCGCATCAGCCGGTTCTGGGAGATGGCTCAGGGGCACGTGCAGCTGTGTAAGATGCGTGCACAGCTAGCAAGGCTTTTGAGGCGCCTCAGAAGTCAGGTTCTGGGAGATGGCCCAGGGGCACGTGCAGCTGTGCAAGGTGCGTGCATTGCTAGTGCCTTTCTTATTTCCTCCCATTTACACTCTTTTGAACATTCTTTTGACATTTGACTTCCCTCCCTCCCTCTCTCCCACCCTCACTCCCTCTCTCGTCCCTCCCTCACTCCCTCCTTCCTGCCCTCCCTCCCTCCCTGCGCACCCCTCCTCGTCTCCTTGGGCACTCATTCTTGAGCAGTCGGAGTTGGAAGCCTTTGGGCAGTCGGCCAAGTCCATAGTGGAGCGGCTCGATGGTATCAGAGCCAAGAGGTGAGTCTGGTCTAGAAATTGGCTGTCATGGCAGTAGCCTTTTGAGGCGCCTCAAATGCCGTCACAGCAGTAGCACGCTCCTTTTCAGCCTGAGCTGGAAGCCCACATGCGGTTGGAGTTGGAAGCCTTTGGACAGTCGCCCAAGTCCATAGTGGAGCGGCTCGATGGTATCAGAGCTAAGAGGTGAGTCTGGTCTAGAAATTCGCTGTCATAGCAGTAGCACACTCATCTTTCAGCCTGAGCTGGAAGCCCTCATGCGGTTGGAGTTGGAAGCCTTTGGGCAGTCGCCCAAGTCCATAGTGGAGCGGCTTGATGGTATCAGAGCCAAGAGGTGAGCGCATGTGGAATCACACTGGCATGATAAAAGATATGTCGATTCAAGAAGGGATTTTGCACAACCTCAGGTGGTCTTCGTTGTTTGCCGCTGACCCTCGTCTCTCATTTCACTCTCTCCCCCTACCGTCCCTCTTCCTCCCTCCCTCCCTCCCACCCTCCCTCCCTCCCCCCCCTCCCTCCCGCCCTCCCTCCCTCCCTCCCTCCCTCCCTCCCTCCCTCCCTCCCTCCCTCCCTCTCCTTCCTTCCCAAAACACCGGTCCTTCCAACACCAGGGAACAAGCGGAGAAGGAGGGGAAGGATGGGGCAGTGTCAGATAGCAAGCACAGGCGGCTGCAGTGGGAGGAACGATACATGGCAGCTGAGATACAGGTGGGTGCTGTGCGGTGTTGTGCAATGTTTGTTTCGGACAGAGTTGAAAATACTTGTGTACTTGCCCTAGCTTCAGCTTGATGCTGATGCTCGTCTGTCCACCATCCATCAACCATACACATGCACGCGACTGTCTGCCCCATCACTCCCTCTCCTCACAGGTGAAGCGGTGCATTGGGGAGGCCGAGATAGCCATGCGGGAGATCAGGGCCTGGCTGGACACTCTCCCCTCCAGGTAATGCTTCTCCTGACCAACTCCTCCTCTCCTCGTTGACTTTTGAGTCGACTCAAAAGTTCCCTCCAGGTAATGCTTCTCCTGACCAACTGCTCCTCTCCTCGTTGACTTTTGAGTCGACTCAAAAGTTCCCTCCAGGTAATGCTTCTCCTGACCAACTGCTCCTCTCCTCGTTGACTTTTGAGTCGACTCAAAAGTTCCCTCCAGGTAATGCTTCTCCTGACCAACTGCTCCTCTCCCCTCTCAAACTAACACGTTCCTCAACCATGCTATAAAGGTAATTGTGTTACATTTTCTTTTTTTCATCCAGAGCTAACACCGTCGTAGCATGTGTGCATGGAATCTTGACTGGCATAGACCCCACCCACCCTTTTGATCCTGCGCACCCACCCTTTTGTTTGCTAAACCATTTTTACATGGAGAGCCTTTATCATCTTACAATCATTCTGCTTCCATTGCTTCCATAGCGCCGCCACTTTACAATGGTAAACCTCAATGACACGTAAGCCGTGATGTTTTTCACTCCCATAGCTTCCATGACTTCCATCACCCTCATACCTTTCAAGCCTCCCTCCCGCCACACGTTCTCTCCAGTGAGGATGCTCCAAAGCAGGCACAAATGCGCGCTCTTCTCGCCGAACTCGAGTCGCTCGTAGCTTCGGTCCGAGCCTCCGCCCGCCCGAGCCTGTCTCTGGACCACCCAACAGTGCTCCGTGTGCAGAGGCTCGGCAAGTCCCCTGACTCATGGGCCTCTGCCGAAGCTGCTGCGGCAGGCAGAGGTTCGGTGTTTCCTGGTACAGTGGTCGTGGCCCCACTCTCAAGCTTTTCTGCTGCAAGCTCAACTGCTGCTGCTGCTTCCGCTCCTGCTGCTGCTTCTGCTGCTGTTGCTGGTACAACGGCAGCAGCAGGAGCAGCAGAAAGGCAAGACATGGCTGCTGCAGCTGCAGTACAAGCAGCTGGAGCTTCTGAGTCTGGTAAACTGTTAAAGAAACCGGCGCTTGTGATTGGAGGATCAGCAGCTGCAGGGGCAGGTGGGGCGGCGCCAACAGGGACAGAGGAAAATGTCCCCCCTACCCCGTTTGTCATTTCGGGCGGGATCCGTCGTCCTGTAGCGCCTGGGTTCAAGGATAAGCAAGGCAAGTCAAAGCTGCCGCCCACGGGTGGAAGTGGTTCAGTGCAGAGCAAGCAGGTGGAGGAGAGCACAGGAGGCAGGGAGAGCATGGGTGAAGAGAAGGGGGAGGAAGGCGGGTCTGATGCTGCAGCTGAAGCATGTTCTGCTGGGGAATCATAATCTCATTCCCAGTTTAACCTCGTTTATGGCGCATTCCGAAGTTTGCCCAACATCCGAAGTTTTCCCACGCGACTCGTAATGTTGACGTGGCATTACCGGTACTCTACATTTTAAAACCGAAATATAAAATAGTGAAGGCGGATCCAACTTGAAATCGTGCTCGGAAGAAGCAAAACTGAAACGACGATGGGCTGTGTAAGACACTGTTCCGGGCATCGCCCTTCCACAGACTGAACACACGTGATTCGTTCCCGCCAAAAAAAAAAATCAGATAGTGCTCGCGCGTTCGCATTTTCTGCATGCGACATTTGCACGACAGTTGTTTGTCGTGCGTTTTGATGGTTGGACCCAACATCAACTTTCAAGCTGGGCCTGGGTTCCACACATGCTTACTTCAACTCCATTCACGTAGCTTGCCTAACTCACGGAGCTTGCCTAGCATATAATAGCCAGAGACGAGGGATTAGGCTGATGCGGCATAGAAATGAAATTATCATTAGATTGTTTGTGATACTTCGTCGCCGTTGCTGCGTAGTGATATTTTCCTCGCGATCACAGAGAACCCCATTCCCGTCACCATTCCTCTCACCCCTCTCATCGCCCACTATGCTATCCTCGAGTTCGCCAAATCGCCCACCCGTCTCCCTTTTCGTCGCGCGTCACGTCGCCATCTCGTCGCCCGTCCCGTCACCCTCTTCGTCGCCCTCTCTCCCCTCCTCTCCTCCCGTCGGCCTCTCTCTCGCCCCTCCCTACCGATCGCCCTCCCGTCGCTCGCCCCGTCGGGCTCTCTCTCTCCGCTCCCTTCCCGTCGCCCTCTCTCTCGCCCCTCCCTTCCCGTCGCACTCTCTCTCTCCGCGCCCTTCCCGTCGCCCTCTCTCTCGCCCCTCCCTTCCCATCGCTCTCTCTCTCTCCGCTCCGCCCTCTCTCTCGCTCCTCCTTCGAATCGCGCTCTCTCTCCGCTCCCTTCCCGTCGGCCTCTCTCTCCACTCCCTTCCCGTCGCACTCTCTCTCTCCGCTCCCTTCCCCTCGCCCTCTCTCTCGCCCCTCCCTTCCCGTCGCGCTCTCTCGCTCCGCTCCCTTCCCGTCGCCCTCTCTCTCGCCCCTCCCTTCCCGTCGCACTCTCTCTCTCCGCTCCCTTCCCATCGCCCTCTCTCTCGCCCCTCCCTTCCCGTCGCGATCTCTCTCTCCGCTCCCTTCTCGTCGCCCTCTCTCTCGCCCCTCCTACCCGTCGCGCTCTCTCTCTCCGCGCCCTTTCCGTCGCCCTCTCTCTCGCCCCTCCCTTCCCATCGCGTTCTCTCTCTCCGCTCCGCCCTCTCTCTCGCTCCTCCCTTCGAATCGCGCTCTCTCTCCGCTCCCTTCCCGTCGCGCTCTCTCTCTCCGCTCCCTTCCCATTCCCCTCTCTCTTTCTGCTCCCTTCCCATCCTCCCTTCTCGCTCGCCTCGAATAGCCCTCCCGGCGACCTTCGACTCTCCCATCACGTATGCCCTCCTTTCTCCGTCGCCTCTCTCGTTCTCCCTCTGCTATCGCGTCAGCGTGACCCATTCCGTACTCTGTTATTGTGTTTGGTTTGTTTGTTTTTTCTGTCTTTCCATCTATTCTCGATGTCAAACTGATTGGCAATAGTCTGTGTAGGCTGTAGTGGGGTAGACAATATGGGGTACAACACTTCTAGGTTTTCCTACTTGTACCCACCTGCTTCCTAGTTCATTCATTCCTCATTTCTTCACATGGTATAGAGCAGGTTCCCTAGTGGGAACGCTTCCTTGGGCCCACCACTGAAACTTTTTTTTCTGATCGGAGCGACAATCGCTCCTGCCCGAGGCGCGCCTTGTGGGCTGCCCTTCTGTCGACCTCTCTTAGAGGCCCCTCTCACGGCCCCTCGCGCCACCCTCAGCGGCCCCGTCGCCGCCCCTAGCGGCCCTGTAGCCGCCCTTCCAGGCCCCTCGCGGCCCCTAGCGGCCCCGTCACCGCCCCTACGCGGCCCCGTCGCCGCCCCTAGCGGCCCTGTCGTCGCCCCTAGCGGCCTCGTTGCCGCCTCCCTCCCTACGCGGCCCCGTTGCCGCCCCTACGCGGCCCCGTAGCCGCCCCTAGCGGCCCCGTCGCTGCCCCTACGCGGCCCTGTCGCCGCCCCTAGCGGCCCCGTAGCCGCTACCCTCCCTACGCGGCCCCGCAGCCGCCCCTACGCGGCCCCGTCGCCGCCCCTAGCGGCCACGTCGCCGCCCCTCGCGGCCCCGTCGCCGCTGACCTCCCTACGCGGCCCCGTTGCTGCCCCTACGCGGCCCCGTCGCCGCCCCTACGCGGCCCTGTCACCGCCCCTAGCGGCCCCGTAGCCGCTCCCCTCCCTACGCGGCCCCGTCGCCGCCCCTACGCGGCCCCGTCGCCGCCCCTACGCGGCCCCGTCGCCGCCCCTAGCGGCCCCGTAGCCGCCCCTAGCGGCCCCGTCGCCGCCCCTACGCGGCCCCGTCGCCGCCCCTACGCGGCCCCGTCGCCGCTCCTAGCGGCCCCGTCGCCTCTCCCCTCCCTACGCGGCCCCGTCGCCGCCCCTACGCGGCCTCGTAGCCGCCCCTACGCGGCTCCGTCGCCGCCCCTAGCGGCCCCGTCGCCGCTCCCCTCCCTACGCGGCCCCGTCGCCGCCCCTAGCGGCCCCGTCACCGCCCCTACCCGGCCCCGTCGCCGCCCCTAGCGGGCAGCCGAGCTGCCGAGCCGCCCAGCAGCAGCAGCCGCCCCTGGAGCAGCCGCCACTGCAGCAGCCGCCCCTGGAGCAACCGCCACTGCCGCAGCCGCCCCTATAGCAGCCGCCACTGCAGCAGCCGCCCCTGGAGCAGCCGCCACTTCAGCAGCCGCCCCTGGAGTAGCCGCCACTGCAGAAGCCGCCCTTGGAGCAGCCGCCACTGCAGTAGCCGCCTCTGGAGCAGCCGCCACTGCAGCAGCCGCCCCTGGAGCAGCCGCCACTGCAGCAACCGCCCCTGGAGCAGCCGCCACTGCAGCAGCCGCCCCTGGAGCAGCCGCCACTGCAGCAGCCGCCCCTGGAGCAGCCGCCACTGCAGAAGCCGCCCCTGGAGCAGCCGCCAATGCAGCAGCCGCCCCTGGAGCAGCCACCCCTGCAGCTGCCGCGGAGCTCTCGCTCTACAGTGGTAGCGGCATCGCCGTTGCTGCCGTCGTACGCCTGCCCTTCTCGCCACTGGTGAGCACTGCCCTGCCCGTACTACTGTTACTGCTGCTCTTACTACTGCTGCTCTTTCTATTGCTGCTGCTGCTCCTGGCGTGGCCAGATGCAGCTCCAGCGTCGCCCGCGTGAGTCCCTCACCCCTCAACAGCTTCGTGAGTGGTACGCTAGTTGGGGTTGTCGGGGTGGCCGTAGTGGGAGTCGTCCTGGAGTGAGTAGTTCCGCAGCTGCTCGTAGTGGCAGGATGCAGCTCCAGCGTCGCCCGCGTGAGTCCCTCACCCCCCAACAGCTTCGTGAGTGGTACACCAGTTGGGGTTGTCGGGGTGGCAGTAGTGGGTGTCGTCCTGGAGTGGGTAGTTCGGGAGTTTCTTGTAGTGGCCTGGTGCAGCAACAGCGTTGTCCGCGCGAGACTCTTTCACCCCAGCAGCTTTGTGAGTGGTACGCTTAGAGTGGAGGGTCGCTGAGTACTGCTCGCTGCCCATACGTTATTAGCACGGGTGTCCGGACTGGTCAGACTTGGGGGACGCGTGGTCACACAGAGTCCCGCTGCTTCGCGCGTCTGAGCGACACTTGGCGTACAGAGTTTGGCGACGACGCTGAGCTCCCCGACTGGGTGGAGCTGCTTAGGCACAAGGTAGATATCTTTGTTCTTGACTATGATGCTATTCTCACTACAATGTATGCATTGTCTACTAGTGCCGAGGGAGTCTGTTACCTGTGTGTGCCGCCTGGCCCCGGTATCCAGTCTGCTGCTCTAGGTGCTGGTGAGGTTGCTGCTCTAGGTGCTAGTGCGTCTACTGCCCCAGGTGCTGGTGAGTCTGCTCTCTCAGGTACCACGTCGGCTGAGGCCTTACACACCTTCACCCTTGACTCGGGTGCTTCCCGCTCCTTCTTTCGAGACCGCACCACGCTTACGCCGCTTAGTCCGCCGGTTGCGGTCTCCCTGGCGGACCCCTCTGGGGGTCCTGTCGTTGCTAGCTTCTCCACTATCTTACCGTGCCCGGCAGCCCCCTCTAGCACCCTGTCAGGTCTCTACCTCCCCTCGTTCTCTACGAACTTGGTGAGTGGAGCTGATCTACAGGATAGGGGGGTTGACCAGTTCACTCCTGCGAGTCAGCAGGTGACCCACTGCACGTGTGCTCGGACAGGCCGACACCTGGCCACGTTCACCCGTCGGCCGGGGTCGAGCCTGTACACACTTACTACAGAGTCTTCTCCGACTGCTGAGTCTGGTCAGGTAGCTGCATCGAGTCAGGTGTTTGCTGCAGCGTCCAGGTCTGGTCCTGAGTCTGCTCCCTGCTCGTGTCGTCTCCTGTCCCACCAGTCTCTCCTTTGGCACCACCGCCTTGGTCACCCCTCCCTGCCTCGTCTCCGAGGCATGGCCTCCCGTGTCCTTGTCTCTGGTCTTCCCCGGTCTCTCCCTCCCCTACCTCCAGGGCCTGCCCCTACCTGCGTCCCCTGCGTCGAGGGGCGACCGCGCGCCGCCCCTAAATCCTCCGAGTTTCCTCCGGCAGAGACTCCACTGCAGACTCTTCGCAGGGACGTGTGGGGCCCCGCCCGCGTCCGTGGACAGGGTCACGAGCGTTACTTCCTGTTGGTGGTTGACGACTACTCGCGTTACACCACAGTCTTCCCCTTGCGCAGCAAGGGTGACGTCACTGAGGTGTTGATCGACTGGATCCGCGCAGCTCGTCTCCAGCTCAGAGAGAGTTTCGGCTCGGACTTTCCTGTTCTGCGTCTGCACTCAGACAGAGGCGGGGAGTTTTCCTCTGCCCGTCTGGGAGCCTTCTGTCGTGCACAGGGCATCCGTCAGACCTTCACGCTTCCGGCCTCTCCACAGCAAAATGGGATTGCTGAGCGCCGCATTGGCATGGTCATGGACGTCGCTCGTACGTCCATGATCCATGCGGCTGCCCCCCATTTTCTAAGGCCGTTTGCGGTTTAGTACGCAGCGCATCAGCTCAACCTTCAGCCTTGGGTCTCCTTGCCTGAGACCTCCCCCACCTTGCGGTGGACGGGGAAGGTTGGCGATGCGTCTGCGTTTCGGGTCTGGGGATCTCGGGCGTTTGTCCGCGACTTGTCTGCGGACAAGCTGTCCCCCCGTGCTGTTCCCTGCGTCTTCCTTGGCTTCCCCCCTAACGCGCCTAGGTGCTGGGTCTGCTCGTGTGACCTCTTGCGGTGCTTCGTCGAGGCGGTATCCGCTCTCTCTGCAGGAGCTGCGCGAGTGGTTTGCCCGGCGCTGGAGCCGTGCTGCTAGAGCTGGAGGTACTACTATTGCTGCTGGTCTCGGAGGTGCTCGTACTGGAGCTGCTGGGGCTGGGGGTGCTGCTGGAGGTACTGCTGGAGCTGCTGGCGGTACTGGAGCTGCCGATCCTACTGGAGTTGGTGCTGCTGGAGCTGCTGGAGTTACTGGAGCTGGAGCTTCTGGGGGTGTCGGCGCTGGTGGTTCTGCTGGCGCTGGTGGTTCTGCTAACGCTAGTGCGTCAGAGGGTGCTGGAGTTGGCGCTGTTGGCACTTGCGGTGCTTGTGACACTGGTGCTGCTGCTGGGGGTACTGGTGCTGTCCCTGCTGGTTCTGGAGGCACTGCGCGGCCGCGGCCGTACTTCGTTCCGCCACTTGAGCAGGTTCTTGGTCTCCCGCCCTCTACTGGTCCTGCTCCTCCCTTAGAGTGTCCACAGCCTGTCCAGTCGCAGTCACAGTTACAACCCGCCTCCCCCCTGCTTGCTCCTCCCTACACTGGTCCTACTAGAGGTCTTGCTGAGCTTCGTGAGCCTGCGTCTCGTCCTGCGTCGCCTGTTCGTGCTGCTCGCACTAGTTGTCGTGCTCCGCGTCCGCGTCTTCCTGCGGTCCCAGGCACACACCTGATGGCACTACGTCCGTCCACTGCTCCTCTGCGTGTCCCGTTGCCGTCTCCTCCAGAGTCCTCTCTTCCTGTCCTTGCTGATCCGGAGTCTGACTCTCTCCGTGCTGCCAATCCTACTGTCACTCGTCTCCTGGCTACTGTTGTCACTGACCCTTCCTTTGAGTCCACTGCTGCGTCTGCCTTAGTTGCTGAGCTTGTCGACTTTGAGTCCACTCCTGCGTCTAGACTACGCTGCTAGTCTCGTTGCTGAGTCTGCGTCTGTCTGTCCTCCGTCCGTCGGGGGTGAGTGTGCTCTTAGCACGGACGTCCTTGAGGACTGGCAGGAGGAGTTCTAGTGTTTTGCTGCTGTTTTGCCTCATCTCGACACAACGCTGATTGCCCCTGAGGGAGACCCGGATGCACCAGACATCCCGACTCC